CAGTGAATTCTGCAAAATTCCCCTCTATGCGAGAGACGTGTGAAAATATTGTAACTGCCATTACTTTTGCGTGAGGTGTTTGTGCCGTGGCCAGAAGGGCTGTTAGAGACGCTTTGCTTTCGAATTAGCCTCTCTGTAGTGGGTGACAACTCACACTTGTTTACAAATGAGAGCAGCAATTACATACCTTGTACCCGTGTATTTTAGCGTGCCGGTCAACCTGGGATGCGGGCACTGAAAGATTGGTGGTAAAGAGGAAACCTTTGCTTAAATGACATGCAGTTTCAGGGCTGCTGCTTAGAACTCCATTTGTGCTGCTGCCATCCCTACAAGTGCTAAAATAACAGGCAAAATATACAGTTCCCAACGAAGATCCAGCTGCTTCACAAAGCAGCTTTGGCACCTAATTCTCCCCGGGGCACCAAGGGAAGCCAGAGGAGCTGCTTTGGGGGTATCCTTTGTAGGGCTGTGAGCTAAATTAGAGGCATGGTAGAAATGTTGTTGTGCGCAGAGCTKTCCATCTGAAGCCCAGTTTGGCTGCAGAAATGAAAGCAGCAGCRTGGGCCCCTGCCTTTGGGCTTGAATCCTGGCACTGTGTTGTGGTATGGTGGCTCGAGCCTGCCTTAAGCCTCCTGTATTTGCACTAGGTTTGGCCTCTGGCCACCAAACAGTCAGCAGTTACAGAGCATAAATGGCTTTTGCTTTGCTGGAGGGACGTGGAGCTCTGCTGCAGCTCGAAAGGCTGCATCTGGTCCTGGTTTCCTTAAGGCATGGAGAATGTTTCTCATGGGTCTTAGGCACCGTTGCTGCGCTCTCGTAGTTGGTCAGTGGCCCCTGGTGCAAATTCACCAGCATCAACCTCAGCTTCAAGCAGTTTCTTAATGCGAGCGGTTTTGACCAGTACACGGGACATGAAAAACCGTAACCCGGTGCAGTGCAAAGTTGGTTCTACATTTGTCCTCTCTRTAGCTGTCTGTGCCGCCCAGCGGGTGGGATCTGGGGTCCAAAGGGCTCTGCAAGGACCGTGGAGGAGCCATCGCTGCCACGGGTGGCCTGGGGGKTTTGCCATGTGGRAAAAAATGKTTTTTTTCCATTTTTTTTTTCTGGGGAAAGCTTCCCTCTCACCACCACAGTGCGTGTATCTGGTGAGTGCGAATGCATGTAAAGCAGAGCATTTTGCAGATGGGTTCGAAGGGCCAGATGAAAACAAAAAAGTCATTTGGCTCCCTTTTGTAGCTGAGCACATCAAGGGGCAGCTCTTTGATCGGGGACACAAAGGGCATCAGAAAGCAGGGGCTCCCTTTAAAATGGAAATCGGAATTGCTCAGTGCGACTCCAAGAGTGTGAAGAGCTCAAGCTTGTGCGAGACAGGTACAAGTAAAATCCCCCCCAAAAGCAAAACCCAAACCCAGGCCAGCCTGACTACTTGAGCRGTCAGATGGGCATCTCTGTGCTCTGCTTCTGTCAGCGTTGATTAGCACTGAAAAAGATCCAGGGCAAATTAAGCTGCTTGCTTTTCTTGCACTGGCTTGCCAGGCGCGCTTAAATCCGGCAGCAGAAGGTGTGAGCCGTGCGGTGGTTCTCGCCCTGCTGTTGTAGCCGCACAGCTTTGGGGGGGCTGCTCTTAGCCCCAAGGGACAACCGCCTGGAATCGCCCTCCTGAGGAGCGAGGGGAGCGTCAAATACCAGTATGTGACGTGTGGGGTGAAGTGGCTTAAAAAATCCCTCTGAATACCACCCAACKTAAAAGATATCTGAACATACTGTAGCTTAAAAAAAAAAAAATGTTTTTCTTGTACTAAAAAAGCCCCAGAGCAAAATTTACTGGAAAGTTCCCCTTTTCTTCCCACATTCTGGTGCACAAACCCAACCAGCAATGGCATGRGGATTTTAGGATGACAAGATGTTTCTTTTTTCTTTCTTTTTTTTTTTTTCCCTGGTTCTCATCTCCAAAAATATCAACTGTAGAGTCTGCTTCATTAAGACAACTCTTGATACCTGTGCCTTGGAGGAATAGAGGACAAAATTTGTCTTAAGATTTCTATAATTATAATAAAGTTTTATATTTTTCCATGTATCTGTGTATATATATATGTGTGTGTGTGTGTATACATGTATATAACTGCTCTGTGTGTTCTCACAACCAATCTGAGAATGTCATTATGTCTTTAGAGTCACAGGACTCAACTGTGTATGAGTTTCAGGTGCTGAATGGGCACCTACAACCTCCCTAGGACTCGCTTCAGTAGCTCTGCTCACAGCCAGGTTTAACCTGGACATTTAGGCTTAGGAGCTGGGGAGGAGTCTCAAGTTTTAGCTTGTCCCTGCTTAGATCAATGTGTGTATGAGTTAAAAGGGACATAGAGGGGCTACGTTTTCAGACCTCAGGACACATTTTTGGTGGGTTTGGTGGATTTTGGTGGACTTGAAACCCTTTGCTTTCATAGGGTTGCATACAGTCATGCACTTGCTATGTAAGTTCTCTAACCAAAAAGTTAACAGGCAATTTCAAAACAAKGAAACTTAAATTAACTTCAACTGTGTTGCTCAAATTGCTGCTCAGATTGTTTTCTTGATTGGTGCAAATTCTTATTTATTCTATACAAGTACCCAAACTGAACACCAGGGCAGAGTATAGAAGTATACGTATGGAAATGAGCATTGCCCTTACTTCGTACAGGGCAGACCACAGATCTTGGGGTCATGCTCTCTATAAAATGCAAGCAATGGATCAGGAGTGTATGCTTGGAAAACYAGCCAGGCAATGGGAAAGTCATGGATAAATTCCATGCCTCTTCATTTCTAGAGGAAAACAAAGACCTGAAAAACAGATGGCAACTTTCTTCCTTGTATTCCCTGTATAATAAGTATAATTTCAGTCTTACATCTGTATCACAATTTTCTGCTTATCAGTTCAAGCCTTTGAGTCAGATGTCGAAGTGCATGAGTGATGACCCTCTCTACCTTTGTAATAACATCCCCCCTTCTTATCCCCCTTCTTTCCCCAAAAAGCATGCCTTGAGCTGTTGCTATTTCTTTGAATACGGGAGTGACCAGATTGCAGGGCAGTTTTGTGCCAAGCGGCCTGTGCCCCTCATGCCTGTTTTCTCATGGAGAGGGATGTCTTTGTGGATCTGTCGGCGTCTGGGAGCTGCTATTTTAAGAAGCTAACAGAGCTGGTACTGGATAATGTTACCCAGTGGGCAGATAGTTGGTATTTTAATCAAGGTCAGAAGGAAGGGATGATGGCGAAGTTGCTTGTGTGTGGCTTCTTTTTTCCTTTTTGTTTATTTGATCTTATGCTGTGACTCTCAGACAACCAAATCTCCTTTCTAAAAAGACTCTTGAAATATTAAGGGTTTTTTTGTTTTTGTTTTTAGTTCAGTTATTTTGTGGCAACAGCTATTACGTTTCCCTACAGGGTCCATATATCAGGGACTAGATTGGACAGGCTCTTCATAGCTCCGCACTTGGTTGTTAATGAGCACCCGGCCTTTGGCTTCATGTGCAGGGATTTCCACCCCTTCTGCGGCTCCTTAGCCCCGTGGTCGGTATTTGCAGCCAAAATCCTGGAGGGGGTGGCAGAGCAAAGAGCCTGCCCTGGCACCTGTGCTGTCCCAGGCTGTTAAATCTCTGCTGCTCACTGCTTGCTCCTCCTGCAGAAGTGCTGCCCTTGGGCCCTAATTCCCTTTAAATAGCAGTTCTGGAAGTGATTTTGGGGGCAAGCCATGGTAGGGGTGTGCCAGAGAGGCAGGCAAAGGTGCTGTGGTGGTTTGGTGCTCGCTCACCAGATTTGGCTTGCGAGCAGGAGGGTTGGGAATCCTGACTGCRGCCGAAACCGGGACGCGGCTCTGTGTCGGGAGTTAGATCAGCCTTTTCTGAGAGCCCAAACAAACGCCCCRGCAATCTGTTCCCGCAGCAGCTGTAGGCAAGGGCTTGTTTTGTTCCCTGCGCATTAATATTTATGCAACTTTAAAATTCAGACAACTCGAAAGATGGAAGAGAATGGGCTGACACCTGGAGCAGAAACCCATCGTGCTGTAGAGTTAATGCGAGTTCTTTTCAGATGTCTCCCCAAAGGAGCAGGAAAATTATTCTCCCAAAGCACGAATTATAATTTAAAAACCTTTATTGCAAGTATTTTTCTGTGTCTTCTGTGGAGTGGGCTGCTTTTCCAGAAATTATGGGCTTGACGGAGTTCCCAGATGCCTTGATTAGAACAGCTGAGATACAAGGGTAGTAGTAGAAACCTGCTGTGAATTTATACCTAGAAACTGAATGACCAGAGAGGTCTGTGACATTACAGCCTTAGTATATGTTTCAGGTTTGTAAAATAAATTTAACCTCAAGATTTTTGTGTTTAATCTGTGTTATGGTGTCTTTGAAAACACTTTTTTTTTCTTTTCAGGACTTGGGGTAGTTGTTAGGGGAAGACTGCCCATCCAAGTTATAAACATAGAGCTTATCTTTTTGAGTCTTTGCCTAGAAACACCCTCTCACGAGACACAAGTGGTGAATGTAGCTATTAGGCAACTTGAAAAAACTCCTGAAAATGGCAACCAATACAGTACTGAAAGCATTAGCAACACGGATAACTATTATACTAAAGAAAACCTCCAAGTTTAGTTTGACATTTTTTTTTCCCTTGAGTTTCATGGGCTCTGGAATGGCTTAAGCATGAAGCAAGCCGTCTTTGGCAATAGGGAGACTCTGTGGCTGCATGAAGTACTTAGAATTTAATCTTGTTACTAATTTTGACAGGTATTTCCACAATGTCTGTCGGTGTCTTCAACAGCTTTATACTAATACAGGCACTGAAGTTTATCGCATGAATTTACCCATAGCCAGCGGTGGTGGGGGGAAGAGATGTCTCCAAGGGGAGTGTGTACGTCTCATGTTCCTTCCCTCCTGCAGTACATTTGTGTGTTTTTCACTTTGTTCATACTTGCTTTCTTTTTTTTTTTCTTTTTTTTTTTTTTATCTCTTGTTATGTTGTGTAGTCTTGTACAAATGGCTAGAAGCAGATCTCCATGGCAAGAGCTCAGATGCTGCAGACAAAGCCGCAGGTAAACAGGGGCGCTGAGGACAAAACTAATCACCAAATCCTCTGTGTCTCCCTCTTTTCTGATCTCCAGTTTCCCTTGAATCAAATTATGGGTCAGATTTGAAAACTGCACCTTTTCATTCTTTAACTTAAATCAATATCTGGTAAATTTTACTCTTCTTCCTGGAGCTCTCTTGGCCGATGTGYTTCCCCTCCCCAAAGAAATGTCTCTAATAGTGCTGAATATATGGATGAATATGTAATATGCTGGATCTTACATGTGCTTAATAGGCCAAAAGGCATCTTGTGTGGGGTTATTTTAGAGGATACTTATTACACCCAGGTGTAGGTAGGTAGATCTGTAGATGAGGATACTCTTGGGTCCATCTCCACCCCTTCCTGCTGGAGACTCAGCCACACTCTGTTCCCGAGACCGAAAGGGAGCATGTTTTAAGTTTTGGCTACAAATAACATTAGTGTGGTCTGCATACATATGAATAAAAAGGCAAGAGAGAATAGATCCATTGATAGGGCAGTCTGATCCATCAAAATTGTTTTGGTTTTGGTAGAAGGTTTGAACATTGCCCACCTGCTCTGGCCTCTGCACCCAGTCCTCCCCCGCTAAAAGGGGGGAAAAAAGAAAAAAAATGACTCTTACAGACAAAAGCTTCCTGCTGAAAGGACTCCAAACATAAAATTTTGGAAAGAACCGTTTTGTCCCCGTCCTCCGCTTCACACGCCTCGCTGAGGCCTCTGGAAGGCACGGTAGGAAACGCGGCCCTTCATGGAGCCCGTYGGCGCGGCCTGCGGCGCCATGAGGGCCGCTGAGGCGCCGAGGAGCCGCGTGAGGGCCCGGCCGGCGCAGAGCGGAGCTGCTCCCCAGCCACGCGCTGGATTTGCTCTTCCCATGGCGTTTTCTCCCTTCCGTGTCCTGTCCCYCTCGCCGCTGCTCTCGGCAGGGTCGTGCCGATAGCCAAGGAGGCGGTCGGCGGCGGGGCGGCATAGCTGGACGCCCTGAACACTTTTAATTAGAAAATAGCTATCCAAGAGGCTGTCACCGACATGAACAGTGCTRTGTGCACATTCATGTTCCCAGTAGGGCCCTCTAAAGGAATAAAAGATATTTTTAATCCTTGTGGTCACCAGCATTCCTGTCGGCGTTCCAGGCCTCTGGAAGGGGCTGCAGATAATTCGCATTCCCTGAACCAGAGGGTGTGGGGAAAGGATGCCTTTGCCTATTTAGTACATATTTGCATCCGCCTCTGGAGCAGTGATAATTGAAGCATCCCTGCCTAAACTGTAGGATTTCTAAATTTGTGAATATGATCGCTCACAGGAAAGCCGCCACGACTAGCTGTGTTTCCCAAGGAGTGTTAGCCTTTACCCAGAATAGAAAAWGATGCTTATTTTCCAGTTCTGAGAGCCTTTTTTTCTTCTTTGAAATGTAATTAGCATAGTTTTGCTTGATCTGCCATCCATTATTTCAACATTTGGTTCAAAATAGGAATTAAATCGCTCTCTARATTGAGTGCCTTTAGGGGAAGATGCGAGTAGCTTAAAAGTATCAGTGCATAGGACGTAGTCTCCAGTTGAAACAAAATTTGAATATGACGCTCTATTTTTAAAAATAGTTGCTTAAGTTTTTTAAATATCTTGAAAGTTAAAGAAATTTATTCAAAATGAAACTTTTAATTTACTTCTGAGTGGCAGCTTATCCTATGAGTTATGCTGTTTACGTGAATGGGTGTCATGCATCAGATATGATGTTACTGACTATATTAATAGTGCTGTTATCAGACCATTAATATTTTAGAACATGGGTTCAATTCACATTTGATACTTGCTTCATTTTTAATGTGCTTTGCTAATTCTGCCTTGCCGTTCAGCAAGGCAAGTGCTTAAAAGTATGGAGTAGCTTCCATCCAAATCCAATCCAATTTCCATCCAAATCCACTGTGTGCCTAAAATGCGGGCGAAATCATAGAGTCCTGGAAGCCTTAAGGTTGGAAGGGACCTCTGGAGATCATCTAGTCAACGTGACTTGTCACTCATGGCCACGAGTGTCGAGGCTGCTGATGCCGTTGCTCGTGTTTGCCAAGAAGGTTTTGCTTTGCTGTGGGGCTGCCACACAGCTGCATGTCAGCGGGGTCTGGGCGGCACGTGCCCGRGATCTCGTCCCATGGCACTTGTGGCGCTTTCCAGGAGTTTGCCTAAATGGTGACGTGTCACCCTGACGCGCAGGTTGCCCCCTGTTACGTGTGGCAAGCCAGGCATCGGGGTGAACTTTCAAAGAAGTGGCCCAAATCAGCTAAGAAACAGTATGAAGTTCACCTTGGTGCCTGGCTTGCCAGAGTGGCGCGGTGTGTGGGGTGCAGTGCTCTCTCCTTTCAAACTGATGACTGACTGATTAACTCCGGTGTGGTTTCTTGGTTCTCCTCTTTTGTCCTGTGATTCTTTGTTGGGAAAATCATATTTTGTGTTTATGTGTGTGAGTRTGATTCCCCCCCCTCCATATTCTGTATTAAAAAAAAGAATAATGCAAATCCTGCAGAGACTCTGCCAAGGTAAGTCGTTTGTACCACTTACTTACCTGGTTCATATGAACTCCCCCATGTTGTCACTTTGTTAGGACACTTGCTGCTGGCTTTGGAAAAGTCAGATTTCTTAAAGCCACCTTTCTTTCACAAACTGTGCTTTTTAGGTATCTCTGACATCYGTATGACTGTACAGATATTTGTATTAGCATACAAATTATTAATCGTGTCCAAAGGCTGATTGAAACACCAAGTTTCAGGGTTAACACCCGATTAACATGGTTTATTGACAAATACACCATTTTTTTTCCAATTGTTGAAGATTATGCTAGAAGTTTTGTCTGTCAGGTTGGTAATTATTAGAGAAAAGGAGTTGAGGACAGTCCAAAAAGGAGAAAAAAAATCAAATATCCCAGGTGACATGTAGCATGAAGTCTAATTTGGACACAGAAGTGGAAGATACAGCTGTATCTGGTGGGGTTATAAGATAAGAGGGCCTCCTGCTTGCTATAACGAAGCCGTGCGGGACTGATCCACAAACCCCACTGSGTCCATGGGTGCTGCAGCCCCATATTCATGTCTCTTAGCTGCGAGCTGCTTTGCAGGCCTTGGAGACGAGCTGGTCTGGGGACATGGTGCTCGGGGGCAGCTGTGGGCAGGTAGCAGCAGCCACTGAGTGTCGGATGGAGCCTCTCGGCTGAGCACCTCTGCACACCATTGCTGCCAGTAAAGCAGACCTGCTGGGACAAGGACAGCTCTGGCAGCCACAAAGAAATGTCATGTGCAGCCCTCAACACTGCAGTAGTAGGAAGCTTCTCAGTTACTGATAGATTTTCAAAAATGAAGTTACAGTTTAGTGGTTCTGCTGGATGGAAGGAGTGTCACAGCTCTCACTTCCTATGGCAGKCAGACAGGAAGCATTGAGGTCCATGTATATATTAATATATATTTTTTCCACTTGCCCAATYCAATCCAAGCTAAGGAAGCCCTCTAGATACTCTTTGAAGTTGCAGGAGAAGTAACCAGGCACACGCCATCGAGTATCTGCATTCTTGCTAATTCACAGTTCTAAAGTAAAGGTATTTGAAGAGGGTTGAAGATCCAATTAAGAAATAACATCATGCCTATTTACTTGATTATGCGAGCACAGTAATTGCTGTTTAATGATAAGAGTTAAGAATGCTGCCAAGTAGGTGTACGTGCCTACCCAGAGAGAGCGTTTCTGCTGGCTTTGCTTGTTCAGATTTTTGTCTTGTAGAACTTGATACAACAAAAACTTATAGACAAAAAATGAGGGTTTTTCTACTGCCGTGTTCTCAAACAGAGTAATAGTCTGTTTTTGTGAACTTCAGCCAGCTTAGTAATTGAGCACGTTAGGGACCTTCCCCTTGTGCTCCTGACTGCCATGGAAGCCAGTGACAACTCTTGTCCAAGTGGAGAAATGTGCTGAGCTAATCCACTAAATCACGAGATGCCAGTTTAGCTGCTATCTCCAGTGCTTGTGTTGTCATTTCTGTGATGCAAATGCTCGGGGTTGCCTTGAGCAGAAGCAGCTTGAATCCCCTGCCCCAGCTCCTCACGTTTGAACATTTGTTCCTGCCCCGCAAGATATGCTTGTAGCATTGCATCGCCTTGGATCTTTTTCCTCTCAGGAACAAAATATCCCTGTAAGAAGCTTATTTGCTTTCCCTTTCTTACCTCTCCCAAATACCCACCGCAATTATACAAAGCATGCATACTGCTAGACAAGAAAATAAGGCAGCAAAAATCTTAGGTGGCTGCCTGTCTGATTGGCCCTGATAGAGAGGTCGGTGCAAGAAATCCCCGACCTTTGCCTTGTTCCTCCCCCTGTTCCTCACATGGATTTTATGGCATTGGCCCTGGGAGCCGGGCCAGGGGGGACACCTGCTTTTTCTCAGAAGTGGGGAAGAGGATCCACCTGTGGTGAAGCTGGCACTGCTCCCTGCACTGCGGGCGGTTTAAAGAGTTTCTGTGTGTTTATTATTCTGGCACACGTCCGTCCTTTCCTCCCCCAATCTGAAAAAGAAAAAAATATCCCCGTATTGAGGAACTTTAGCAGTATCTCATGTAGCAAATGGTTCCTGAAGCTTTGCCAGGACTTGTGCATTACAACTGTGCTTTCCTTTTTCACYTTAGGTTCAACTCGGTAGGCTGCAGACCTCAGTTCTACAAAGCAAGGACGGAGCAGTGCTGCTTTAAAAAGCAGCTTTTCATTTCCTTAGATGAATGCCGACTCATAGCTTTCCTGTATTTATATATTTATATAAAAATGTATATTAACTTGCAGTGAGTCAAATGATTGTGTGCACGGTGCTGCTCGAGGAGCAAAGGGCAGGTAGCACACGTGGCCATGGCCTCCGAAAGCCTCGGGTAACTCCCGAGCTCCTGGTTTTGCAACATCATCTGGGAGCTTGCGACACGAGCCCAGCGAGTACAGATCACATTTCCACTGTCCACTTGGCCTTCAGAGCAGGGCAGAGTGACATTAGCAAACCCGTAGTTTTTAATTTTCTTGCAGGAACGTTGGGTTGCTTTTAGAACTTGCCAAATAGTTGGTGGGTTTTCTGTTTGTTTGTTTAATCCAAGATAACCTCCCATGAAGAAAAAAAAATGCTGGAATCTTGGTTCCATTTTCTGGTATAAAGAGAAATAGTTCTGTTTTAAAGAAAAGAGATGAAATTCTAATTCATAGCTTCTATTTTTTTTTTCTTTACGTATCTAAGTAACATTGGGGAKTCTCAAAGCCAGCCTCAGAGGGCCAAGTACGTTTTGGTGGAAATACTTGCCAATTTGGACATAAGGTTTTCATCCYGTTCTTGCCCCCTAGGTGAGGAAGGAACAGAGCAGGAGATGATGGTTCAGTGCCCACTTGTGGTCTTTGAAGTAGGAAGTCAGAAATCAGTAAACTAATACCTTGATCAAGAATCAATGCTGGGAAAAAAAGTGTAGTATATGGTAGTGTATTTGATGGATTTTAAGACTTTCTTATTTTGATGACTACATTGCCTGCTGTAGACTTTCCAGTGGTGGAAACTCTGTTTAATAATACCAGCTTGAGATACACTATTTGTGTGCTGATTAACTAGATGCCTTTCTGCTTCAAGTCTTATTTCAGTCTTCTCTGCCCTTTCTGGGCATGGCAGAATTCCCTCCTTGAAATTGGCCACAGCAGAAATACATGTTTAATGCAGGACTTGGGATATAAAAAACATTTATAGCGAAGCCTTGAATAATTTGCAATAGCTGTGASATGCTCCCACCTTTTATGACCATCAGACCATTTCTTGCTTTCAGGCTTTGCCCAGACTTTCAGAGTTGAAGTAAAGCTCTCACTAGGTATTCACCATGTAGGGAGGGAAAAACCCACAGAGATTCAGATGACTCCAGAGTCTTTTCCCATAAACTCAGGCATTAATTTTTTTCTTACCTAAAAGTGTCCTTGCAGTGAACACTGTATTAGAAGCTGTGTTGCCCTGTGGTAGGATTTCTGTGGGAAGGAGGGCAGGATTTGACAGAATGAGCATGTTGGCGTTTCTCCCTTGGAAGCCCTCATGGGTTGGGAGCCCCAAGGCCCTTGGGATGTCGCATGGCCGCTCGCTGGTGAGGCAGAAGTTTGCAGAGCAGCCRCCTTGTGTTGCTTCAGCATCACCTTTTCTCCTTTTTTTCACCCTTTTCTTTTTGCAGGGGAGAACTTTGACCAGAGCCCCTTGAGAAGGACGTTCAAGTCCAAGGTTTTGGCTCATTACCCGCAGAACATCGAGTGGAAYCCCTTCGATCAGGATGCCGTCAACATGGTAGGTGGGGAATCCTGTGGCCGGGCTCATTCCCGGCACCCTCTGCTCCCGTGCGCTTCCTGGGTGGTGTCATCCCGTTGGGACTAAATGCATGTGCTAAGCGTGCCAGCTGCAATGCCAYGGAGGCACAGTCGTGGTAAATATGTGGAAATATTTGTGGGCAGAGCAAAGCTGAGGTGCTGACAGATACGTCTCTCATTAACTCTTAATTAAATCTAGCGTGTAATGAGATGAGTCCCAGGGGCTGGGCGAGAAGGAGGARCCATTGCCTGGCGCACATTGCAGCAGGTTGGAAGGAGCTTTGCTGGGGAAGCTTGGAGAGACTAATATCCTTGAGAAGTTTCTAAGGACCAAAGTTGTTGTGCTACARGGAGAGGAGGGGAGGATCTTTGCTSAAAAGCGACAGCTTGCCTAAACTCTAGGTTTTGTGGGACACTAATTTTTAATAGCCTTTCTGCACCAATTTGTGTGTTTTCTGTACATCTCTCGCTGTCAGCACAGTTTGAGATGAGCTTCTTCGTTAGGCTAAAGTCTGGTGAACAGGGCAGTAAGTAAAAACAAAGTTTTTAGAGTGCTGTATATGTGCAGGGAGAATTAAAAGTCCGAGGATTCACTGTGTATTTTCTGAAACAGCTGATGTTGAAGGGTTTTTCCAAAAAATCACATTGTTAAGAGCATATGCTGACAAGAACAGCCAATTAGTGTCACCTGAGATAAGCTTCCCAGGACAGAAAATGCTCTGTTTTATATTATGCTGTTCTGTATCTGTCATTATGCTTGAAAAGTAAGTAGATAATAATAATAAAGCAGTATTATCGACGCCAGCTGTTCTTGAAACTGTGTGTTGAATCTAACTCAAAATGGGACAATTAGGGAATCCTCTGTCCCTAGTTTAGTTGCATCTTGCCGCATTGGAGGAGAAGGGGATTCAATATTAGCTATTTCAAAACAGAACTAGACTGAGCATTAGAAGAAATATTAATTTCAGGTAATTCTCCAGCTGTGGTGTTGCTGTCACGCTTAGAAAGGCAGAGGTGCCCCAAGGCTGGTGCTGGTCCCTCTGCTTGCTGGTGGTTGGAGATGTTGCTCTGCCTGCGTCCAAATGCCCACGGAGGGAGACGGAGCAGGTCTCYGTGTCTCCTGGGATGTACCACTGGCACGAAGGAGTCACGGGATGCTTGAAGACCCAGCTAAGGTGGGAWTAACCCAGCTGGGCAGGCTGCTCCTGCCCCAGCTCCTGCTCCAGTGGTTTGTTTGCTGTCCTGCAGCGGTGGTGCTGAGAGGAGGAAGAGCAAAGGAGGGTTACGGCAGCGAGCGGCCAAAGCTTTAGCTGAGCCTCATGTTGCTGTTGAAAACGACTCACATTCATGAAGTGTGAGGGTATTACCGTGCAAAAATGGAATACTGAAAACCAGCAGGAGGCCCTGTTAAGAGGAAATAATTGGGCTGAACTGCATTCAGATGAAATCGTAGCGCTGAAGAGCACATATTTCATTTGTAGTGTCTGGGAAAAAGATATTTGCTAACAGCAGCTGTGCTTAACAGGCTTTTAAATTATCTCTTGGAAAATTCTTCTTATTGTTTTGATCCAAAGCATCATTTAGAGTAATACCCACCTCCCACAGAATAGCCACAGACTCCCCGAAGGCAATTTTTAGCCTTTCTGATCTCTCCTTACTGTATTAGTGCTGCCTGTGTGTTTTGTGGGAGTTTTCCAGAAGTAATTTTCCTCAGAGAAGAAAATGCATAAATCCTGGAAGGTTAATTTGTGAGAATCCTGCCTTTGCTAGATGTCTAAGGAATTCCATTTGCCTTTTGAAGCCATTCTGTCACTTAAAAAAAAATACCCCTGAAATCCTGAGAAATCACTCTGCCCACCAGTCAGGTTTTATATCCTTTTCAAAGTAGTATAGAGTTCTATTTTATAGGGAAATAGTTATTTTTTCCCCACTGCTTTCYGTGATTATCCCAGCCTAGTGTCATGTGCTGCTTCCTGCAGCCATTCTGTGGCAGTCTCATGATTTACCAATCCAAAGTCCTCATTACAGAGGAAAGCAAAAGTTTTAAGAAATAACTCCTATTTTAGTCCCACAGAAGCCATATAAGTATTTGCAGACACTTCTGGAGACTGAGGCAGAAAAAAATTATGTATCCAAATAAAAGAATTAAGGGATACCCACTGTAATTTTGGAAAAGCAGGTCTTGCTAAGGGCTGAGGTATCTCTCTCCAGCCACTCATCCCAGGCACAATTTAGATGTGGAATTCACTGGTGCAGCATGTTTTGAACATGAAAAATACATGTGGATTGAAAGGGGAAGTAGAGGATCTAATGGAAAGCAGGGGAACCCAGTGATGCTGTGATCCAGAGGGGACCTTGGGTTGAGGAACGTCTGAAAGCGGTGGTGGCCCTGCTGCTGCGCAGAGCCAGGGGACATCTGCTCCTCACCTCTAGGAAGAGGATACTGAGCAGGCTGCATCTCCTCGTCTCACCTCGTGCAGCTGCTTAGCCTTTGACCAACCCCTGTTGATCGTGGGCCTGGTGCAAAGTGATGGATGGTCCAGACACTACGATGGAAGATGTTGTGCATTAAGTCTGCTGCAAGTCGGAAGCTTTCTGCTTTGCTTGGAAATGAGCATTCAGTCTCTGTGTGGAGTCCCTGCCTTTCCTCTGACCTGCTCTAGGTCCAAGAAGAGCAATCTCTTTGCCAGGCTTGGCAGGAACTGAAAATGCTGGAATTCGGCAGCCACTAGGCTGTGGCTGGAAGCTAGGAGATGTGCACTCCTGTGGATGTGTGTGCAGTGACTATCCAAAGGAGGAGGGAATGGGTTTTGAGGCTTGGAGGAGATGTGTCTAACAGCCTTCTGAAACTGTCTTGGTCTGAATTTCCTTCATGCCTCTCTGCTCTTGGTTAWTCCAGTGCATAGAACTTATGCAGGTGTTTGTCTGTAAAACAAAGAAAATATCATCTCTGGCAGATAAGAGTTGCCATTAAGACCTATGATTTCAAACTGATTGGATTTAATAAGGCACTATCGAAAGCTCGCGTTCTAGAAATAAACTTTTATTTAATAATTCTGCCAAAAAATGAGGTGGAGAGACACTCGTTGTGCAGGACAAATTTGAATGAAGTGTGAAACAAGGATTTTCTATTTCTGCTTTGTTGGACAATTTCAACACAGCCCTAACCATGGCATTGCTGTTAATGCCTCAATAATAAAAAGCTATAAACCTTTAGAGTGAAAATGTGGCTGCTGTTCAAAAATGGCTCAAGCTACAATTTCATGGCTTATGTCAGCAAAGCCTGTCAATTGAGTTAAATCCTAGTAGCTACGGGTCACTTCCCACCCTGGCCACCAACTTTGGGAACAGCAGGTAAGAGCCAGCCTACATAAATACCTACAGCCTGGAAGTATGCTGTAAAGTATGGGCCATATATTTATGTAGAGTCTGGCCCGTAAAAGGTCAGCATTTTTGTATGATGCTTAAATAAATGAGAAAATAATTTTACGAAACTCTGATGGTAACATCACAAAGTGGTGTCCCAGTGCTTACCTTTTGGAGTAGCAGGAACACTCAGATCTCCCACTCGTTATTTTTTTCCCTTTCTTTTTCTCCCTTCCTTCGCTTTGCTGCAGTTGGGTGCCTTAATGCTTGGATTATGGACGTACTGATTCAGTCAGAACGTGACGAGTTTCATGCTGACACATATCCAAACATATTTTGCTGCTTGTTATTTATTTTGTATTAGACAGCTGATAGAATTCCTGAGGAATGTCTGGAAAAATGCCTCACATTATCCCTAGGGGTATGTTTCAAAGAAATGCTTCAATGTCATAGAATTGCTGCAAAATATTTTGCTGACTGGTGAATCAAAAACTAAGCGTACATGGATTCTGGTCTTCTGCTTGCTGATCTAAGCTATTTTATAACACTTAAGAAAGTAAAGTAGTAGTGCTTGTCAGTTGTTTTATTTTCTTTTATGAAAATTGGGGATGATTGAGCAATCATTTCAAGAACTGCACGTAATTGAAGTCGATGCTCTAAGATGCTCCCTTGACACATTGTGTTTAGAGTACAGCGAGCACAGTATGTGCTGCTGAGGAAAGAAGGGGAATATTTTTGTCTGATGCTTAAGTAAATGAAGCAGAGCCRATCTGGTACTGAAAGCAATTCTACAAAGCAACGAAGGTGAGATCACAGGGACTTATTTCCTTGCATGACTCTCTTTTCTTTTAAGTAGCACTGGTTCCAGGCTGGGTTTATTTGTGGGGGGAACTGTGATTGACACTGTTAAATAACTTGCTGTTGCAGCGGGATCGAACGTGTCGGTAGATAAAAACGGTGGCGATGGAGCCGTGGCTGGGCTGATTTCCTCTCTCCTGCTCTTCCCCCAGCTGTGCATGCCCAAAGGGCTGTCGTTCCGGACGCAGGCGGACAGCAGGGAGCCGCAGCTCCACTCCTTCCTCATCACGCGCGAGGACGGCTCCCGCACCTACGGCTTCGTGCTCACCTTCTACGAGGAGGTCACGAGCAAGCAGATCTGCACGGCCATGCAGACGCTCTACCAGATGCACAACGCCGAGCAGCAGGGCAGCGTCTGCGCCTCGTCCTCGTGCAGCATGGACTCGCTGGCCAGCAGCGGCGACGAGGGCGACGCCACGTCCCTCGCCAAGCTGCAGCGCTACAACTCCTACGACATCAGCAGGGACGTGCTCTACGTGTCCAAATGCATCTGCCTCATCACGCCGCTGCCCTTCATGCAGGCMTGCAAGAAGTTCCTGGTGCAGCTCTACAAGGCCGTGACGTCGCAGCAGCCGCCGCCGCTGCCGCTGGAGAGCTACATCCACAACATCCTGTACGAGGTGCCCCTGCCGCCGCCGGGCAGGTCGCTCAAGTTCTACGGCGTTTACGAGCCCATCGTTTGCCAGAGGCCGGGTCCCAACGAGCTGCCGCTGTCTGACTACCCGCTGCGGGAGGTCTTCGAGCTGCTGGGCTTGGAGAACCTCGTGCAGGTTTTCACGTGCGTCCTCCTGGAGATGCAGATCCTGCTGTACTCCCAAGGTGGGCCCAGCGGCGCCGCTCGCGCTTCCCGTCCCGGTGGGAGCTTCCGCAGAGCTCCTGGTTTCCCTCTGTGGGCCTGGGAAATGCAATAACGTAATGGAAAAAATGGGAGAGAAATGAGCCTGTCCTAACGAAAACAATAATTGTTCCCGCCAGGCAGTCTAGGTGCCACTTGTTTAATTATGCATCGTGTTTATCACTTGTGACAGCCAGCAATAGAATTCCCTTAATTATCATCCTTACATTGCCCTTGATCATGCTGCAAGACAGCAGGGAACTAATCCTATCTTCTGCAAGAAATAACCAGCATGAAGTAATGCATCTTGCAGAAAACATTCTACTTTCTTTTGCCTCTTTCAGCAGCATTTTGAATTTTAGGGAGAATTTCTTTCTCCTGTCTGCTGGCATGAATTTAGCTTAAAGCAATGACTGTTTATTACAGCTTGAAGGCCAGAGTTTTCAGTGCTGTGCTGGAACTGAGGGCAGTTTAGTCCAGTCCCTCTTTAGTCCAGCTTGAGAAGGACTAAAACTTGAGTGTTTTTCTATAATACAAATTCCCAAAGTTTGGGGAATCCGGCGTTTGTGCTGGGCATGCTCTGAGGTTTAGCCTGGCTATATATGACTCTCTCTCTCTCATGTCGATGATTGCTAGTCTGGCCCTCGTGGTGTTTGGGAGCGAGGAGCTGCAACCCCAGGCACCCGAGGGCCCGGGCAGGCCAGGCTGAGGGTTTGGGGGGACATCCCGGGGATTGCCCGGGCGTTGGGGGCTTCCTCAGAGCCCCACGACCCTGGCCTGATTATGGGGGTTCCGAAACATCTTCTGTGATGCTGACCTCGAAGTTACTAAAGCAAGCCCTGGGTAAAAAAAAAAGGAGGGAGCTTCCATAAAACTAACTGGGAGGATAAAAAGCCAGGAATTGTGTGTGTTTTAATAAACAAAACAGGAGATGCAGCTTCTCAAGAGGTCTGGTTCAAGCAACGCCTCAGACATCAGACAGCTCGAGGTGGAGAGCGAGGAGGTGATGGGGAGTCGCTTAAAACGAGTGTGGATGGTGAATTCACCTCGGGCTTGACAGCGAGGGCCTGCGCCTGTCTTCCGAAAAGGGAGATCAGTGAGCGGGTGTCGTGGTGAAACCAGCAGATAAAAGTGGAGAAGTGCGGAGGGAGGTGGAGGTGGAGGGAGCCCTGCCCGCCTGCAGGCGCCGCGGCTCGGAGCCGGGGCCGCGCTCCGCCGGGCTCTCCGCGCCGCGGGGACTGCCCTGCAAGCGCTGGAAATGACAGGCCTGCTCTGCCCTCCGTTGGGAGAGTGGGCAGAAATCCTGCTGCTGGTTTTCCTGGGGCTTCCCACCGCTGCTGCGGGGGTCTGTGTGGGGGTGTGTGKGGGGGTGTGTGCCCGCGCTTGCCTCTTTCTGGATTTTGCTGCCTCTGGTGCTGGGGTCCGGCAGGAGCAGCGGTGCCAGCCAGGCGCCTCCCCATGCCTACCAGTCCTTCCCACCCTGCCCTCGGTGGCAGACTTGCGGGGAAGGACTTCTTGAGGAAGAACCTCTTCCCTGYGAGGGTGCCAGAGCCCTGGCACAGGCTGCCCAGGGAGCTTGTGGAGTCTCCTTCTCCGGAGATCTTCCAAACCCGCCTGGATGCCGCCCTGTGCCCCGTGCTCTGGGTGTCCCTGCTGGAGCAGGGGGTTGGACTAGATGATCCCTAGAGGTCCCTTCCARCCTCAACCGTTCTGTGATGCCGTGATGACTGGAGGTGTTTGGCGTGAGCAGGTAGCATTAGGAGGCAAGTCCTGCTTGTTGGATTATTCTTTACTGATACCCTATACAAATAGAGGGCAACCTTGATACGCATCACTTTTATAAAAGGCCTTGAAAGCAGTACAAAGCATGCACTAAATAATTTTGATTCCACTTTCAAAGTGCTACCACAAGTTACTTAAATTAATGATTTTTTTCTAATTATTGGCTGTAATATAAGAGATTAATTGTTTTCATTTTCATTGTTTATTAAAAAAAAAAAGAAAATGTGACAGTGAGAATTAGCTTCTTCCATCCTCAAAAATCTGTTCTRTGTTTTTTTTCTTTTCCTTCTATTGAAGAATCTAGAGACATCCTTGACCTGACTTTTACCTCCCTGTCTAATTTGGCTGCATCTTGATGGAGCATGAGGCAAAACATGCATTTAGATGTATGGGGGAAATACTGTTATTATGTAAATCGCATTTAATGCTGCTTCCCAAGGGTGAAAACTGCAGAATGGAGGTCAAGTGCAAAGCTTGATTATTAGCATGTCCTGATAGCCGAGTGCTTGCTTAATTGTGCCCTTCTTTTAAATGTCATTTTTGTGATGCCGGAAAGAGAGAACAAATCAGCTCTTTTCCCACTCGGTTTGTAACTAGCTGGATACCGCTGAAATCTCTTGGAGCTCTGATCGTGTCCATCAGGGGGATTTTCTTAATTCCGGATTTTTTTCCAGCTAAGAGCTGTATGGAAGTTTTTGGCTTGACTATCTCTCACTGCAGAGTAATGGATGAGATCGATCCTGCGGATTTGCCTGTCCTTCCCTTCCCGGCGGGAAGAGGGTGAATGAGCTGTGACTTTTCCGCCCACAGCCCGCCCTTGCTGAGACCTTCGGGACTCGAGCAGAGACTGGAGATGGCCCTGGATCCACAGGGGCCAGTCTGAGGCCAACAGCGCTCGCCGAAACGCTGGGATCGCCCCTCTGGCAATGAGCGCCCTGTGCCAGGGCCTGCTCCAGCTCCCTGGGCAGCGTCCGGCGGAGAGCTGCTAATAACCTGTGTGTGTTGCAGGGGGGGAATAATGACCTTTTCTTGCCGTTCTCGCCCATTTGGAGGGAAGCTTTTCATTCAAGTTTGCCAAAATTGCCTGCGGTGCAGGACCCCTTGGTCCTGCTGTTTCCGTCGCTGCTGCTGCAGCCAACCTCAGTAGTTGCCACGCTTTTTTTCACCGTTTTGTGTTTTTTTCACCCCATCCACCACGGGGGCAATGGAGGTGTCGGAGTGGGCTGTGATTTCACTTAGCAGCTGTGACAGTCACGCGTGGGGTGGAGGAGGTTGATGCAAGAGAAGGATGAGCTTCATTTATTTTTCTTCTTCAAGTTACTCAGTTCCCAATCTTTTTGGGCTGCAGGCGAGTACCTTAGTCCTCAGTTTGGCTCAAGCTTGCGGCTGAAATCCTAAAGCAGAGTCTCCTGCTGCCGAGCTCTTGCTGTGGCTTCGGAAACCACAATTTGGGAGCTGCCAGGGGAGATAATTGTGTCCTCCTAGTGCAAAAGCTGCTGCGACCAAAGAGTTTGAGAGCCAAGACAGGAAGCAGCTGGGTTGCTCGGGAATGGGAAAACGCGCTGTGGCAACACGTGGGCAAACTTGGGAAGTAAGGAGAGGGTAGCTTGGCAGCTATCAGGGATCTGTGCTGGCCCTTGGAATGACAGGACTCAGGAAATAAGCATTAACTTTCWTTGGAGACAACGTGGAGAAGGTCAAAGCGGGTTTGGGTGGTAGGTGTCACAGGCTGCTGTCACAGAGGTGATAAAGGAAACCATGCCCAAACCGGGATTTCTTTAGGTTATTGGTCATGACTTGAGGTCACAGCTTCCTGAGAGCACTTTTAGCTTCAACTTTTAACTTAAACCGGGCCGAATTTTGACATGGGACCTCTGAAAATCGCGGAAATGGTCCGTGTTACCAGTGGACCAGACGGCCGCGCGAGCCGTCTGTTACACGCCAGCGCCGCTGCTGTGCTTTCGTTGTGGTTTGCTCAATCCCTAGGGATTCATACTTCTCCAAGAGCTTTCTGTTTATGGAGAGCACAGGTTTCCCAGGCGGCTGGAGGGATGTAATGACCCCGTGAGGGTCCGGCCTTCCACAGGGTCCCAAGTTAATAATGTGGCGCCGTAGCCGCTACGTTATCCCCCAAGGATCCGGAGCAAAAACGCTCCCGCCTGCCGGAGGGAGAGGAATGAAACTGCGGGCCCTGCGGAAGCCTCCTCTATCCATCCTGTACGTCGGCCTTGCCAGGGATTTAAACATGAGAGTGTGGGTGAGCCGGAGATAAACTCCTTACAGCCTCGGCTCTTCCTGCTCATTAAAAYGTGGAGCGTTTCCGAAGCCGCTTTTCAAAGGGCTCGAGTAATTGCGCCTCAGAGCTTGGAATATTCTTGGCATTTTCTTTAATCGTAGGAATTATAATAGCAATGGCTCTGCATAAATATATAGCTTTGGCCTAGAAAAAGTTGGTAGATGGAAGATCTGACTTATTGTCTTGTCGTGGGAGGTTTGTGGGCATTTTGTACTTTGATTTTTTTTCTTTTTTCCAACAAAATATATACGTGCTGTGTTTGCCCACTGGAGCATTTTTACACCAAACAGCTATGTAGAAAATCTATATTCTGCACTGCTCATTATTTAAGTAGCTGCAATCCAAACACGTAGTTATAAAAATGTATTAGRAAATATTGCAGAAAAAAAAGCTACAGAAAAAAAAAGCTACAAAAGCTACAAAAAAAAAGTCTTTTGGGGACAGCATGGTGGTATGCGGTGACAGACACTAGTGTTTGAAGSCCCACTGGTGCCAGGGCCACAGGAGACTGCAGCACTTGCTCCTGGAAAGAGACAGGGAATTGGATAGAGTAATTGAAGAACCCAATATCATCTTGGCTTCAACAACAGAAGTGAAAACGCAAAGTTTTCTTTTTAATGTTTATTTTGTTAGATAAGTCAATATGGCCTGGAAAATGAAGCTTTTTAAAGCAATTGGAAGCTCCTGCTTTTCTCAGTGCTGAGGAGCAGGAGGTTGGCAGTGCTTTGGTAATGCCACAGGCACACGCTCCATCACCTCGCCTCTTCTTTTTACTGTACATTAGGRTTTTTTTTTCCATTRTAAAAACCTCTCTATCTTTTGAGAGCAGGACGAAGGCAAGCTAAGCTAAGCCTTTGCATTTCCAAGCGTGGCAAATGCCAAGGTAATCAAAAGTGGTCCCAAACAAAGTCACTGCCGGATAATGTTGCATTTATTTCAGGAAGGAAATGTGGTGTTGTGGGGCTTGTTTGCTTTTCCTCTCTCTCCCTTTGCTCTCTTCTCCCTCTTTTTTCTTTCTCTTTTTTCTCTCCGTTTTCTCTTTTTTCTCTTTCTCTCTTTTCTCTTTTTTCTCTCTCTGTTTCTCTCTTTTTTTCTCTTTTTTTCTCTCTCTCTCTTTCCTCCTCTCTCTCTTTCCCTCCTCTCCTTCCTTCCCTCCTCTCGTTCCCTCTCCCTTCCTTTGTTCCTGGAATAAGGGCAGGAGCAGGAGCTGCCTGGTGCCTGGCTCACAGCGAGGAGGGAGGCTGTGCCCTCCCCATGGCCCTGCTGGGTGCAGAGTGCCAGGGGCCGCTGCCCGAGGACAGGGCAGGGGATGGGGAAGGTGCCCGGGCTCTTCATCATGCCCTGCACCTCGTCCTGTCCGTGAGCTTCTCCCAGACCTTTGCCCATCTCACAGACACTTAAACCCTGTCAGTAACAGCAGCTCATCCGGGTTTTCCTGTGGATTTGGTCTTAGGGTGGCTCTTGCTCATAAATTAATTCACGCTGAACCGCTGGTGGCAGGTTGTGACACGGATAAACCATATCAATGGAAATCCGCACAAGTGGAAGTGATTTATTTTTTTGCCATTAAGCATGTGCCAAAGAGGGGGGAAACGGCACGAAGTGGCTGGCACGTCCTGGCCCCGGGGCAGAGCTGCCCCACGGCTGGAGAAGCTAATTGCTAGTTCAGCAATTAGGCGCACGCTTGTCTTGATCGTGCCCTTAGCTTTAAAGCAAATACGTGTGTTCAGACTCGCACACGTCGCTCGTCTGCGTTTATGTGCTGCTTTTATCTGGCAGTGCGTGTGCTGCGTCYCCTCTCCATCCACGGCCGTGTGCGGCCCCCAGCCGCCCGAAACAGCAGTGCTGGATTGAGGGGATTCCCACCGGGAGGAAAATGTCCTGGAGCAAAGGCAKGTTTCCTTGGAACAGCCCCGGCCGGCTGACCGTCACCCACCTGCCCGGATCCAAAGCAGATACAAAAACCCCTGGGAGATTTCCACGGCCTTTCAAAGCCTCTAAGAGACACGTGTGTTGCTCCTGTGGATCTACTGATACCTGATTTTTCAAACTTTGCTTTCCTACAGAATTCCTGTCTTGGAAGTCCATTTCAGAGCGCGCATCTGGTGCGCAGGGTGCAGCGGTTAGAGTTAGGGTGTAACGAGATGGGGCTCCTCATTGCTGGGCTGCCCATGCACCCTTTTAATCATGCTCTGAGTACAAAGCAAAATGCACATTTTTRTTTTCCAGTTTTCCCAATATGCCTAGCTTAACAAATCCATATCTTGGTAGAGAAAGTAGCTGTTGAGCAGTGCTCAACGTATATATCTCTGTGATAYTTTGTCTCACAGTGTAGCATATGGAAAGGCTTCCAGTCACAAGAATGTTTTAATGATGATTGAGGTGTTTCCTGGAGCTCTTATTTATTAGGGCTCATTGATTTTGTTTGTTCCTACTTTAAACTGTTATTTCGAGGCACTATCTGTGTGCGTGCTCCAAGCATCATCTTCCAGGACACGTCTTTGAGCACGGGCTTGTACTAAGTTGCTGCTATCACTTATACGTGTTCAAAATCAAGGGGGAAAATTAAGTGGTGCCTGGGTGACTCCATCTTTTCAAGTACTTACAAGTACTTGCAAATTGCTTATAAAACAGTATTTTAAAAGGGAAAGAAAGAGGAAACGGGGCCTGTTTTTCAAGCGTCTTACTGTGCTTGGAAGATCCAGGYTCAGACACCTGCTGTGCGGTACAACACAGCTGGAACAGATGGAAAACTGCCAAGTTGATCCTTAATCAGAAAGACCAGCATGTTGAAATGGTGTCACATTCACTGTCCTGGCTGCAGCAAAATCCAAGTTTCCTGTTGGAATGAGTGATTGTGGGCTCACATTTCTACACGTGCAGTGTACTCAGAAAACCCTGTAGTTGGACAACTGAGGAGGTCCCAGGTGGAACTTCTGTTTCCAGATGAAACTTCTATTTGACTGTGGCATAGATCGTATGTTCATTTGAGTAAATATTTGAACATTTTGGGGGGAGTTGCACTTGAACTAGGCAGGTGTTGGCTGTCATGGACCATGGTAACATGAATATTTTCTTTCTCTTCTCAAAAGATCTTGATTTGTTTACTGTGGTGTGGGAAGGATTTGGAGATATCAGACTTCTCTGTGTAAGAAGAAAAGCAATTTTTCCTTTGGGTTTCGTGAATTACGTAACCCCTTGGCGCTTCTGTTTGCAATCTGTAAAATGAAAGGCGAGGTTATTATCGTTATTATTAATATGGTCTTGGTCTTACGTGTTTGGACTGCAAGCTGCTTGGCAGAGCAGCATTTCTGTGTGCACAGKACCTGCTGTAACATCATCCTGGCTGTTACTGTATTACAGCAAAGCGACATCAGCACTAAATATTTGCCAAGTACTGTCCGTTCGGAAAAGCATTTATAGGGAGTTGGGGTTCAAATGCTAATCCCTTCCATTTCCAGCCCCAAACAGTCATTCCTGCTAGTGTAGCAGTCACCAAGGGCTTTCCATTTGGGGCCTCGTGCTGCACGCTGAGCCATTGATCCCTGTGCGGGACTTTTCCTGCACAATATCCCGAGGGTGGCTGTGCTTTTCCTGCCTTTCCCAGCTCTTTCCTGCCGCCAGGTAGGCGCACAGGAAGGGGGATGCTCGTGTGCTCTGCCCAGCCAGGAAGTCTTTCTCCAAACACACTTCCTAAACCAGTGAATACTCTCTAGCCAGCGGTTCTAGCCCCAAAGGCTGGAGCGAGAGGAGATGGTTTCCCCCTAAGTGTTCCCACCTGGTAACAGCTAGCCTAATAACATGGTCGTTTTTAATTGTTTTCCTCCCTTTGTCCCTGTGGGACCGATTGGGAAGTTYTCCACCTTGACACTACCGCACGCTGTCTGTGCATACACTGGGGTTTGTGTCCCCTTTCATTCTTTTCCTCCTTTTTTTTTCTTCGCTTTTTCTATTTCCTCACTCTTATTCGTTTCTCTGTCTTGGTGAAAATAGATTCATCTCTTCTGTCCGTGTTGTCTTCATTAACCACGTAGGCTTCCCTCAAATGCTCATGAGTACAAGAATCTGTCCATTAAGAAGGACTTTTTTCCTTAAGGGAAATTTAAGAAGAGGAAATGTCCAACCTCGTACAAGCTTGAAACGAAACACAAAGGAAATASGATTTATTACTTGGTTAAAGAAATATCAAAGGAACCATTTCCAGGTGTTGCTTTTCTGGRGGACTTCCCTCCCTTCACCAAAAGAAAAGGAAGTGATTGTTTTTTTATCATCATTGGTAATCATTAGTAAGTGTTCCTTGGTAATTAATTATTAGTAGTCATTAGTAAGTACTCATCATTAGTGTTCCTATGTGGTAACAATTAGCTTAATAATATGGTCATTTTTAATTATTTTCCTCCCACTAAGCTGATGATAAAACTTAAGCTTGCRAACATGTTAACTCTTATCAATAGCACCCAAAAAAAGAAAAAGAGCTCGCACTTCCAGTGTGGAATGCCTTGATGAAAAAGACCTTTGCAGCCTTTTGGCAAAGATGTGGCATTTCACATGACCATGAGATCCAAATAGACTTTGTAAACCTTGCCTTGCACTTACTAACACATCCTTGCTGTATTTTATACATTTATTTTGTTTCTGGAACTCACATAATTGTGGAACGATCACCCAACATGCTAAATCCCAGGACTGCCGCGTGTCACGAGYGGGTATTGAACGCCGACTTTGTATACATTATCCTCACCAAGCCGGACCGAGGGATGTGTATAATTGTGTGTCATTTCGTGGGGAGAGACCCAGAAATTACCAGTCTTGGGTGTAGAATCAGCAGCTAGAAAGTCCTTTGGTGTCCTTAGGAACCTTAGGCACATCGCTTGTTGTGATACACAGGCTGTTTATCATATGGAGCAGAAGCAAATGCCTGGTTTCAGGTTYGTTAACAGCTTGCAGGACCCAGCAACTGCTGGTGATGCATGGCCTGCAAGCTGAGATTTGCCATCGGGATGACCATGTCTTTAATGGCAACGTGTGGTTTTTACTTTGCTCTTAAGTATGGATTGCTTTGTTTATATTAAAAATCAGGCAGTGGGGTCGGGTGGTGCCTGCTGGAGGTTTACATCGTGACAGCTCGGTGTCTGAGCTTTGTGTCTGAACTTTGCTCTTGTTCAGCTCCAAACTCCTCCTTCGCCTCTGCTGGAGACAAAGCAGAAAAAAAAATGTACTTTTACCTAAGTAAATTTTAATTTAAAGGAAAATGGACAATGCATTTACTTGAGTGAGAAGCTTTATAAAGCAGTAAATGGACCAAATACAAACTTGAGAAAATACTGTGATATAGGCATGCTGTCCACGATATTTTTATGAAAACTGATTTTTTTTCTTATGTTTTTGTTTAAATAAAGGTGCTTYTGTGCACTTAGTGACTAGAAGCTTCTGCTAACATGCAGGCAAGATGTCTCTCTTGAAGAAACAGCACTCAGCCTTAGAAGYAGTAGTGAGTGGAAGGTAGAGGTAGACACGTAGGAGCAAGGAGGAAAGTTTCTTCCTTTCTCCTCCTTTTTCCCTTGTAAAGAAATACATGCTTTGTATAGAATCAGATTATTGTTAGTGTTATCTGTARTATGGAGGGGGGTTTTGGTGTCCTTTCAATAAATGAATTTAGTGACAGGATGCGAGTAGCCAAGATGGGAATGTTCAAGTTGGGCAGCTTCATTGGGCGGGTAGTGCGTTCCGGTGCGCTGCACAACGCCGCAGGCCCCTGTTCCCCTCTGTAGGCCTCTGTAGGTCTCACCCTGTGTTGGGAACCCTGCCTGCTTTGGCACACGTGCCCTTCCGAGGCGGCTCTGCGGCCTGCAGCCCAGGGAGCCGCTCCTCTCAGYGCCTCTCCTCTCTCTGCAGATTACCAGCGGCTCATGACGGTGGCGGAAGGCATCACCACGCTCCTGTTCCCCTTCCAGTGGCAGCACGTGTACGTGCCCATCCTGCCCGCGTCTCTGCTGCACTTCTTGGACGCCCCCGTTCCCTACCTGATGGGCCTGCAGTCCAAGGAGGGGACGGACCGCTCCAAGCTGGAGCTCCCCCAGGAGGTAGGTSCTGCCCGTGGGGCTCAGCCCGTGCTCCTTCTGCTCCAAAGCACCAGGGTTGCTAGTATTTACCTGAATCCCTGCTGGAAAGTGCCATGTCCCCTGTTACCAAGCTTCCCTGCCACGGGTAAATCTGCTTGAAGCTCTGGACTATGGTGTTTCCCAGCGGGACGGAGGGAGGGAGCGAGTCCCTGCAGCATTCCTGGGTGTGTTCCTGGATTTAGTGAGTGCTGCTAATTTGATTGACTGCTAAATGCTTCCTCCTGGGTCATTAAATGCTGCTCTGCTTTCTTTCCATCACACACTTCAGTGCGTTTTGTTATTCTTCCTTGGCGTCACAACCCTAGGAGAGGACTAAAGGATATTTCATTTGGGAACGGTCTTTGGGAAAGCCGGAGTTCAGGTATTTTCGCAAGAGGGTTTGATTTGGAGCCTGTCCCTGCCTCGCCGGCGGGTTCATCCCTACAAACCCATGGATGACCCCATGTTCTCCTCACTGCCCCTGAGTGTATCAYGAGGCCAGTAAGCCTGGCTTTAGGAAAGCTCGAGTTGCATTCCTACCAAAACTGCCCTTTCTTGAGCACGTTGGACACTTTAAGGTGGCTTGCATCTTCAAATCCATGGAAACCCCAGGAGTGACTGTTGGTAGCACCGTAACATCGAGCGACTGCAGCGCTGCCACGCCAGGCTCCRTGCCAAGGCCGCTTCCCAACCTTGGGAGCGGGCGATCCACCCGGAGCCAGGCAGGGAAGGCAGTTCCTGCGTCAGTTCCTACGAGGCAGTGCAGGAATCCACACAGAGGGCAAGGATATCTTCTTTTCCAGTGGAGATCTGGTTTACATCCCTTAGATCCTTAGCCCAGGTGGGATGTTGCAGAGCCAGTCGAGTCTTGGCGCTCGGGTGCAGTGCCCCGATCATGCAAAATTCGTAATGGCTTTGAAATGGAATTGCTATCTAGCTATGCTTTTCAGTAACTATGCTAATCTTACATAATTACCGAGTRTTTTTTTAAAGTTATTAGTCATATGCTTTTACTTAGTAGATTAAGCTGTCATTTTCCTTAAATTAAAATTCTAATGTGATGGTTTTTTGCTGGAATAACAAATTAAATATCCCCAGTGGGAGAGGAGCAATAGTGGAAGAAGAAGCTGTTACAATGTTTAAAAAATGGGTAGAAAAATACCAACCCAGCSTTTACGAAAACTGCAGATCGCAGTGCTGTGTGAGAGGGCAAGAAGGGGAGTTGAGCAGGGAAGATCTAGATTAGCACATTCCTACAGACAATAAAAAATAGAAAATCCTTTAGCACACAAGCAGCGATGAAGCACGGCTCTGCGCAGCTTTGCTTTGTGGTTCAGGCCAGGGGGGCCTTTCAAGCCCTTGATCTAGACATAAACCGTTTGTATGTCAGAGATAAAAACTCTGACAACTGCCCATAGTGCTGTCTTAAGGGTACTAATCATTTTGCATTAACTTTAATCATCGGATGTTTTTGGAGAGAGAAGTGAGAGCAATTCCCTGAGGGTTTTCTGCATCGAAATCTCCTTYTTCAAATTTTGTAAATGATATGCAGAACTGAAATTAAGAAGCCTTTGGAATTAAATATTGATAGATAAGACGATGGTCCCTGAGCTAAACAGCAGCACCAGGGCGTACCATGACTCTTTAATATGTTAAGCAAATTGTTTTGTACAAATGRATGGTTTTGTTTGTATGCTTCAAATTTATTATTAAAAAAGGAGCTCAAGGGACACTTCTGCTTTGTCAGATGAATCCTAATAACCTCTAAAGGATCTCTGAAATGTAATTAAGGTCAGCCATGTCCTGAAATGTCCAAAATCTTGCAACCACACGGGAATGAATTCCCTTATGGAAAGTCGGCCTCTTCAAAGAAGGAGGTCGGGCCTTTCCATGGCTGCTGCCTGGAGCGAAGGGCAGTGCAGCCCTTCGAGGGGTGGGAGCAGCAGCAAGGGCAGCCCAGCAAAGCCCCGCTGCCCCGCGGCTTTAGGCCAGCTTAAACCCTTCAGAGCCCAGCCCCTTGTTTAGGGATGGGGCCTCATTGGGGGGTTTGTTCAGCACAGAGCTCCCAGCCTGTGAGCTTCAGATACAAGCTGCAGTTCAGAAGATCCTGAGGGTGCATTTGCAATGTAATTAATATATATGTACAAGCTCCTCGCCTGCCCCCGTGGACACGTTTGAAGTAAAAATATCTTCTCTGCCAGATTCATGCCTCYGTTTGGGTTTAGTGTTATGACTGCAATCTATTTCCACGTGTAGAAAAGCTGTCTAGGAGCACTCTGTTTAAATGTCAGGCCAAGGAATCTCAAAGTGTAGCAGCCTTCTTGGAAGGAGGGTGGAGAGAGGAAAATAAGATTTGGCCTCCAGTGGCCAAACTATACTCAGACATGGTCCTAGAGGATGTGCATGGGACTTTTTTTTCCTTTTTTTTTTTTTTTTTTTTCCTTTGGCTTTGCTCCCAGTAGCATCATCTTCCTCCCTGATCATTGCATTCCATGGTAGCTCTGCTACAGAGGCTCCCTGCAGCCAAGCTGGTTCCTGGTAAAATAAACAGCCTTTGGATGCAGTGAAACACACAGAGAGTGTTTGCATGGGCTGCCAAGCAGTGCTGCGCCATCCCGCTTGCAGGTGCACCTGTAGCTGTTCCAGCAGGGAATATCCAGTCTCTGCAGCATGAAGTAGTATGTGAAAGTGGTTTTTTTTTTTMTATATATTTCAGGCAAACTTGTGCTTTGTGGATATTGATAACCATTTCATAGAACTGCCGGAAGAATTTCCCCAGTTCCCCAACAAACTGGAATTCATCCAGGAGATCTCCGAGGTTCTCCTGCAGTTTGGGATCCCCCCGGAAGGTAACCTGCACTGCAGCGAAAGTGCCACCAGGCTCAAGAACTTGGTTCTCAATGACTTGGTGAACGACAAGAAGAACGGGAACATCCCCAGCAACGCGCTCAACATGTACGAGTTGCTGAAAGGCAACGAAACCATCGCCCGCCTCCAAGCTCTGGCCAAGAGAACGGGCGTYGCGGTGGAAAAAATGACCATCACCCCTGCCCTGGTGGACAAGGACCGGGACGTGAAGCTGCAGTGTGAGGAGCTGGAGCTGAGGGACTACAAACTCAACGTGCAGCTCCGGGAGGTCTTCGCCAACCGCTTCACGCAAATGTTTGCAGACTACGAGGCTTTTGTCATCCAAGCTGCACCCGACATGGAGTCCTGGCTGACAAACAGGGAACAAATGCAAAACTTTGACAAAGTAAAAATAGCTATGTCTGTTTTATTTCAGTTGCTTATTTTTTTCCTCCATCTGAAGGGGTTTTCGAGGCCGATGGGGAGAGAATAATTGTATCGTGTAGCTGTTGTGTAGGTAGACTTTAATTCTCCATTCCTCATCTACCTCTCAGACAGGTTTGTCCATTCTCACTGTGCAGGAGCAGATCCTTCTGCCAAAGTAAACTGGAATACACCCACTGAATGAAATGGTCAGAGCCATCCCGACCAGCATGAACTGGGTAGACACACACTGCTGAGCCACTGACACGGGGCTTTACCTGTAGCTTTGGGGAAGAGGTAGAAAGAGAAAGGGTTTTCTTTTCTCTCTTCCCTGATGGGAGAGATTCAGACATAAGACAAAAAATAAAACCAATTTTTTACATTTCTCATTTCCTAATCTCACAATAGAGCTTAGCATTTCATTAATGTGCAGCATTGCTTCTTAGAGGGCAGCCACTTTGTTACATGAGAAGCTGACTTCTATGGCTGTATTATAGTGTGCACAGAAGAGTAATATGCAAACTGAGATTAGAAGTGGGGGAATGAATAGTCTGTAGACCCACAAAAGGAAACAGAAATGTTCTGAAGCCTGGACAATTATTTTTTCTCAGTGGCTTCTCAGAGTAATAGTGCTCCTGACCCGCACATTTTTTAGATGCAAAACCTGCTCAAAGGAGAATATGCAAGGAAAAAGCATTAAGGAGCAGGCTAAATATTGATTTCTGATGGTTTTTGATCAAATAATGCTGCCGCGGCTTTTTTATTTGATTATAGTCAGGCGTTGAACACTGTTGCATTTGAGAAAAAGAGATTGCCTATACAGTCTCTCCTAGCACTTCTACAAGACCGTGGATTCCTAAGGGTAGTGTTTTCAAAGTTCAGATAGATTCGGGCACCATTTTTTTTTTAATTAGAATTTCATGATTAACTGCCCTTCTTAAAAATGAGCAGTAGCACAAGAGCGTTGTACCCTCTGTTATCTTTATAGATGATCCAGTCCCAACCAAGGTCCAGGAGACCAGAGGTTCCAACAAGATACACATGGGGTGGTAGTGGTGGTGGTGRTGGATGGGTATATCCTGCTTCCATATATCCATGTTCTCTTTGCCGTAGTGATCACRGAGTCCTTCTCTAACCACTTACTTCCACCACCATGACTGAAGGGATGATCCATGAGGTCCTGCTCTCCCCACAAGGACTTCTGTTGTTGTGGGGAAGCCTTCTCCAAACTTTGCCAGTGGCTGTTGCATCTGTTTTCTCCCATAGGAAGGCTTTTAGACTGAAGTGAAGAGGATGTCTGCCACTAATGAATTCTTCTGTGTTTCAGGCTTCCTTCCTTTCGGACCAACCTGAGCCTTACCTCCCATTCCTCTCTCACTTCATTGAAACACAGATGTTTGCAACCTTCATAGATAATAAAATAATCTCTCAGTGGGAAGAGAAGGACCCTTTTCTGCGAGTGTTTGACTCTCGAATCGAGAAAATAAGGCTATATAATGTGAGGGCCCCTGCACTGCGGACATCCAACTACCAGAAATGCACCACTTTGAAAGAAGCAGGTATGTTCAGCTGGACTAATAAAATATTCAAAAGTACAATGTCAGCTACAMAGAAATATAGTTTTTCGGTCATTTGAGAGTTGCAGCGAGCAAGATCATAGAGTTGCCTCATAAGTACTTAGCAGTGTCCTTATTTTCCCTAAGTAAAATGTCACTATTCTTTTCAGTGCTAAAAATAGAGGGAAACCTTTACCTTTTTTATCAACTCTCCTGGGTTGATGCCTTTAATAAAAACAAACCAAATGAAGGCAAAGTGTTCGAAGAACAAAATGGTTGTGTAGCTTGACATCTTGCACAACCCAGGTCACAGTTTCTTCAGTGAGATCAATAATTCATGTCTGGAAAAAAATTACACTCTTGTTTTAAGGTCAGATTATGTTGCTTGTTATCATGAATAACTACTGATTCCCCAAATAGAGTTTAAAAGACTTCAAAGAAGTCTCAAAGAAGAATTATCACCTTCCCTTAAACTTCTTTTAATATTGAGGTGACTCAATAGTAAAAATACTTCTTGACTTTTAGTTTTGTCCASTTGTAATCTGGTCTCAATTCACATTTAACTTTTGCAATTACACAAACTGGATGTTCAGCAGAGGAAAGAAAAAAGAAAAAAGAAGTTTTGTAGCCCACACCATGTGGTTTATGAATTTTAATTGTAGCCCACACCATATGAATTTATGAATTGGAGTCTCCTTCCTTGGAGGTCTTCCAAACCTGCCAGGATGCTGCCCGGTGCCCCGTGCTCTGGGTGTCCCTGCTGGAGCAGGGGGCTGGACTAGATGATCCCTAGAGGTCCCTTCCAACCTCAGCCGTTCTGTGGTTCTGTGAAACCAAACCATGGAGCCGCACACTGAGCCTTGCACTTTCCCATTTCACACAACTCCTGCTGTCAGTGCGATGGGAAGGAATGCAATTCCTGCGCTCTAGCTGTTGCTCCAGCACCACACCGAGGAGCTGAGTCCCTGGGTCTCCTTCACAGACCTTGTTTTTCCCTTCCTGTGAACTTCTTTTGACCCACTCTATTTGACCAGAGCAGAGGGGGCTGCCAGGGGCATAATCCTGTACGACATCTTTAGTAACTTCAGCAATAGAAACTTAATGTACTGTCTGGYATGTGCTGATGTGGTACTATATCAAGATTTGGAATTTTCAGTATAGCCACAGGGAACATTTTCAAATGATGGCTGCGTTTCTTATCATGAAATTGTTTATTTTGTTTCCAAACAGTACAGTGGAATTATACTCTTGGTCACATTTGGGCACATATTAATGAATTGAGGCAAACACGTTTCCTTTGGGTTTTGGKKTTTTTTTTTTTTTTCATCCCTTCAGAACGTTTTATTGTTACAAATGCAGCAGCAACGTGGAAAAAATCTTGCAGCAGGTTAATTTTTGTCTATTAAAACAAKTCTGATTTGCAGGTCGCCTGTCTATGCACCGCCTAGTTTCAGTAGACATTGTGGCACCAGAACCTCACATGCTGTATTGTGAGAAGCAGCAAGCTGACAGTAATGCCTGTTTCCCTTCATGTTTCCCAGTCACACGGGCCTGAACCGAGCACCAATCCAGCACTTGTTTGTTGAACCTGCTATTTTGGGAGCCCTTCAAGCCCCTCACGTCTCCCCATGCTGCCCAGGCCTTTTTAGCTTCCTCCAAAAGGAAGCACTACAAAGCTTCGGAGTTTCTGATGATAATATATGGAGATTTTGACAGTTTCTTTCTCATCACAGATTTATAAAATAGGTCACGGGCTCTCTGTAGTTCTTAACAAATGGAAAATGAATTTTGCTTCTACATTTTGCATATTAATTGGCTGCCCGTGATAGGCTGAAAGAATGAGCCTGTCTGTTAATGGATGGTCTATCAAAAAAGGAATAATCAACATGTTAATTAAATGCTGATTCCATCATACACCTCCTTTCCACTCTTGTTCGCAGTGTATCTGCCTTGGTGTTAGGAGGCTGGCAGATCTGGTTTCAGTCTGCTAGAGATTTCAGGTGAAATCTTCACATCACTGAAGTAAATCACTAAACTCTATTAATCTCGTTGGAGTGGAGGTTTCCAGGAGGCCCCTCTCTGTCCCTGTCCTTAAGATGTCCCAGCTTCTGTTGGTGTCCAGCACCCCTCTTGCCTTTTAGGCAAGGTACCCATGGTTGCCTGTCAGTTTTGAAGGCCTTTCCAAGAAGGATTTCTCTTCAGCACGTGATGGCCAGTGATAATGTACCTGCTTGCAGGGGGAGGATCTGATAGTTGTGACGTTTGGAGAATTAAGGTTTGGCTGCCTGCCCATCTGTCCACAGAAAAGCATCTCRGGCAAAATGAGATGTTCAGCCCTCACAGAGAGTTGCTCCTGTTGCAAGAAGTCTCAGTTCTGCAGGAAGTGCCTTTAAGCCTCCCACATAATTGCAGGACAGGGCTGCACAGCTCTTTAAAAGTATCTGTCTTGTCAAAAAAGAAGAAAAAAAGGTTGTCCTTTGGCAGTGCATCTTGTCACCATTAAGCTCCCCTGAATACCTGCCTGTTGAACTGCTAACTTGTTTGTTCCAGTACTAACTGCGTTCAGTAAAGAAACTAAAACCGAAATAACGCTGCAGATGTTTCCTCACATTTGTGAGTGACACATTTCAGGCACAACAGCAAATATTTAACTCGTTAGTGTCCAGGGATCAGAGGGYGAGTGTGTTGGTTGTTGTAGCACGCCTGCAGGTAGCTCCCTAATGCTGTTCTCTGCCCGTGGATGTGCCYTGCAGCCCAGTCCATCGAGCAGCGGCTGATGAAGATTGATCACACGGCCATCCACCCCCACCTCCTTGATATGAAGATTGGCCAGGGGAAATACGAGCAAGGCTTTTTCCCCAAGTTGCAATCAGATGTCTTGGCGACTGGACCCACGAACAACAAGTAAGCGCAGCTTTTTGTTTTCTAGACTTGAAAGTAAGCTTTTCTTATGCAAAAGTCACATCAATGGACAACAATCCTGTTTTTTAATGTTTTCTGAACAGTCTAATTAGGCCACAACTCTTTCCATTTCTTCCTTGTTAYAGCTGTGACTTTGAAGTTTTGGGCGTAGTTTGGCTGATGCTAGAAATTGTTAGCTTTGGTTTTGAGAGGATTGTTCAGTAATAATTTCTGTTCATTTTAAGTGGCGAGTACTGTGTCTTCTCATGCATATTTTAAGTTTTGCCATTGCCATAACAAATGTACAGTGAATTTCTTATTAGCCACTGAATAGAATAATTTGGAAACTCAAGCGAAAATCCAGATTTTGAAGAAAATCCTCATGTTGATGCAATTATTCTGTAGAATGAAGTTAATGTTTGCTCTGTTCCTTTGTGGGGTTTTTTTAGCTGTTATTACATGGCCCAAAAGATTTTTGTAATGTGCTTTCAATTTCCAAAGTAGAATAACCTAGAAGAATAACTCAATAAGCTTGGTTGAAATATGTGGTTTTGTATTTGGGCTGCTTTTTGGAACCTAATAAGGCCCTTAGTGTGCCTTGCTATGATTGTAGGCATACCTATAGCTGTGAAATCAAGCATATTGTTGCATTAGTGCTTACCTAATCCAAAATGGGAATCTGTAGCAACTAATGTACATTAGAATGTAAGTACTGAATGTCACCTTCAAGCCCAGGTAAGAGAATTGGGAGGTTGATTTCTTGAGAATTTTGGGGAAATTGAGAWTTKKGKTTTTTTTTTTTTTTTTTGGCTTTGGGGGGCTGTGTTTAGCAGTCTACCCCTTTTTCTCATGGTGAGTTGGAGTTTCACAGTGTCATTGGCAGTATGAGCATGCCTGCCTACTTGCATGTTTTGGCTACATTACAAAATCTTGGTGGATGTGGGAATAGACATTATATTCAATAYAGATGTCTCTGTGCCTTTGAGCTGCTGCTTTTAGATGGGGAACTATTCTGAAATGTGGCTTTAACTCCTCGAGTACTAATTTTGATTTAGATAGTTGTGGTCTTCAGATTGCAGCATGTTTCAATTTGTGAAAGCCAAAATCCCATTACTTACCGCAAAGTGATGTCAATGTGACAAATGTCTGGAATTCCTCCAGTTTTATATTGCCAGAAAGGTTTGCAATTGGGAAATCTCAAGACCATCTGTTTACATCCTTTTGCGTCCCAGCATTTTATATGAGCAGCTCAGAAGACTCTTTTTCATTTAAGGCATGTAATTCTGCTGAATTTACACCCACGGTATAAAATAGATAGCCTTTTCATGCTCTCTGCAAATAACAGCATAATTTTTTTGACCACAAAATCAATTGACCTACAGCCTTCCATTAATTTGAATTTCTCAGGATATGCTTCTCAGCTAAACATTGTACTAGCAGACAGGACTGAGCCTTTGCATATGAAGTCAGGAGAAGAGAGCAGAGGGAAGAGAGCAGCTGCGTTCACAGCAGCCTCACATGAATTTGTGAGGTTAACAGAAAGGGTATTAAGATAGTTTAATAGATTACTCTGATTTTCTTTCTTTCTTCTTTTTTTTTTTTTTTTTTTGCAAACTTCAACTTATCTAGAGCAAATTTCATCCTAAATTTTTCAGGAGAAAAAATAAAATCATGCTCTTGCTCCTGTGAATTTTGGCTGTGATGCAGTTCAAAGCTGTTTTAATGATAACCTGTCTTTGCAGGACAGCAACCAGATTTTTACGGCTTACTTTTCAGGAGGAATAAACCAAGCAAATCTGTATGCAGAGCTCACAGCTCTAATCTGCTGTTGCCTTCCTGTATCTAGGCAGAACACTGGAGCTCCTAGGGTGTAATATGTATACCTTGAATATCTAGGTCAGGAATGAGCTGCRAAGAGCACACCAACTTGTTAGTTGTGCTTAGTTCCAAGCCCAGGCTGTGATTTGGGGGAACTGTGTGACTTACAGGACTGTAACAGGCAGAAATTCAGTTTGGGGGGCAGGGGAAGGGTTGATGGGCTGGATCACCTCCATCTGCCCATGTCTAGCAGCAAATGTTGGTCTCGTTTCTAGGAAGAACACTGCAGTGTGTTGTGCAGGTGATAGGCCCAAGACCTCCTTTTGGAGCCTGGCCAAAGCAGGGCCTGGACCTCTCCTGTCTTAGTGAGCAGTGCAGTTGCTGACTGAATGCTCATCTGCTTGGTCACGTGTGGGTCAGGAGCTTCCTAAAAACCTGCTCCTGTTTCAGCCTGCTCATTGGGGCAGCAAGTGCAYGCCTGGTGTCCTTTGGGCTTTTCTCTACCGCATCCCATGGTGGTCGGAAAACGTTGACGTGTTCAGCTTGCGAAAACATTTCTGAAGCTAACTTTAGACTTAGCTTTATTGGAGGAAGAAGGAAGGGGAATGGGAACAAAGGCAAATTAAAACAAACCAACCCAAACCCCGAAAAGACCCCTGGAACTGGAGAGTAGGCTCCCAGATATGCAGTTTCCTGAATCATCTTTTTGATCATGCCAGGCCATGGAAGGACCCGATGTGCAGCATACATAGATAGACCTAAACTTAGGGAGAAGATGGCAACTATACAGATATTTCTGTAATTATTTTAGGAGCTCCTGGTTACRCAGCAAACTTGGAATACGGGAATGCATAAGTGATGTGCATATGGACATGTGCTCATTTAGCTATAGCTACATTAATACTAAATAGCAGATGGCCAATTCCCAGCCCAGAAAGGGTCTCCAGAGTTTAGGACAAGATCCAAAAAGGGATGCAGAGGCRTTGCAGGGGGCGGGAGGGAAGCTCTTGGGCAGGGAGCTTGCGTGGAGCTTGGCCCCTGCATGTCCGTGCGGTGCCTCGCTGCGGTCGAAGGGAGAAGGGCTGCTGGAGTGACCCATTAGCGGGCACTGGAGGAGCCCACAGGCTGGCTGTGGCCTCCAGCATCCTCAATCCTGCAATTGCTGGTACTTTTGCTCTTCTGGATAAAGTTTCAGTTGGGCTTTTCAGTCTGAAAAKAGAAAAGAGCAACCAAAACCCTCCCAAATTCTTCCGTGCCGGGCAGTGGTGCCCTGCACTCACCTCCAGTGGTAAGTCAGAGGCTCGAGGATGATGGCTCTTCTACCTGCCAAGGAAAACCTTGTGAATGTGCAGGCTCCTCCAGCTCCAGAAATGGCCCATCYGGCTTATTCCAACCTCATAAAACAGCCGCTTCCACAGGAGCCCTGCTGCCATTCACTCAGGCATTTTTTCCATCCGTCTGGGATAGCGCAGCAGTTTCCCAAGTCCCGCCACCTTTTCCAAACAACATCCCCACGGTGTGACCTCCCAGTGTTCCTCCCTCCCTTCCCCACAGGCCTTTCCTGCCAGGCTCTTGAAAGCCCAACGTGGGATTTGCAGACCTGGGATTTGCAAACGGGCTCCGCTTGGGGTGATTGAGGGGAGGCACCCRAGTGGCCGAAAGCAGCGCGCCATGAGCACCGTGCGTGGGGTTSATGGGCTAGTTGTGCAGTGGGGTGAAGATGCTTGCAGGGCAAAATTAGAACAGCTAAACAAGCTGCGTTTTGAATCTAATTGATTACCTTGTAACTCAATTTGTACTAAGAAGCTTGATAAATGAGATTAAATGCTGTAGAGGAAAGCACTGATTGCACATCAAGCCTGGGAATATATTAGCATTTTGGCAGTTTGTCGTGAATGCCTACAGAGAACAACTGAATTGACATTTCTTTCATTGATTGCTTCAGTTTTTTTTCTTTTCGGGGAAGGCTTTGCTTTATTCCACATTTACTAGGTAGCTTAAATTACCTTTTTCTCTCTCTCTTTCCCCTTCTCTGTATTTAGCTCTGTTTTCCCTCCCTTCTCCCTCCACCTTCTCTATCTAGGCTGTGCTCTCCTCCAGGCTTCCTTTCCTGACCCAAGCGCTTCCTCCTCCCGCCCTGGCCACTTCTCTTTTCCGAGTCCTTTCGCTTGCGCTCTGGCTCCCAGGTGCAGGGTGCAGCTGGCCGCGTGCCCCGTGGTGGCCGCAGTGGTGGCACAGAGCCCTCTCGAGCAGCCTTCCTGCGCGGGATTCCTACCCTAAAGGATTTCTTCCCCCTGCAGAAGTATCATCTGCCTCTTGCACAGGTGTTTGATCCTGTGCTATGTTCTGGTGGCCCCAGCACTGGGTCAGTAGAAGTATTTGCAAAGAGGTGCTGTTAGGAAGCCCATAATGGGTTCATTTTTGTGCCCTGCTCGTGGTCTGGGCCTCACTGACTTGTGTGGGTGCTCGGTGCCTGCCAAACCAGAAGTGCCCACGGTTTATACACCYGCTGTTCTGGGGCTCTCTCTTTTAGGTGGAGCTGCTGTTTGCTTAGTCAGTAACGGGAGCATGGCTAATCTTCTTCTCTGTTTGTTTTTTAAAGAAAATATCAGCTATGGTGTATATAATGTAAAGAGGAACCTTTTGCTAAATACCATGATAGAACTAAATCTGGCTTCAGCAAAACTTAAATATCTGTTCCTTTGGGAAATGATCTGTATGTCTCATKTTATTCATGTAATTCATGTTATATGCCAAGAAAGGCATATTGTCTTCATATTATATTGCAAATTCTTATTATATTGCCTTTCGTATTATATTGCCAAGAGAGGTTGTGCAGTCTCCTTCTCTGGAGATCTTCCAAACCCGCTTGGATGCAGCCCTGTGCCCCGTGCTGTGGGTGACCCTGAGTGTGCAGGGGGGTTGGACTGGATGAGCTCTAGAGGTCCCTTCCAACCTTAAGCATTCTGTGATTCTATAACATATGTGTTTGGTTTTTTTTTTTTTTTTTTCCAAAAATTCCCCCATCATTGGGTACTGTTTTAAGGCTACTTGTCTTTAATARAACATTTCTTTTTGGCAGTCAAGCCAAGCAACTGTGCTTTCACATCCTATATAAGAACAACTCTGTTTTGCATATGAATGAGTCATAAATGAGTCAGTGATGAGCCATCCTCACAAAACACTGATATTATTTAAAGTTTGCAAACAGTAGAAGCTCACCTATTTTTTGAATATGAAATCTGAAGCTAGGGTTTACTGAACATAAATGTAATATGGTAAACCACTGGCAGGTGCAATGAGGAAATTAACTGTTTCTGTCCAAATACACTCCCTTTCAGTCAAATTTTATTCTTGAATTTGATAATATGTACTTAAAAATGGTTTCTGAAGTAGGAACGGTTGAGCCCAGGTAACTTGGGCTCTGAATTCTTTAACACACTGATGAAGTTGTCTTCTAAACGTRTGTCTCAGGTTCTCTAGCACCCTGTGCTGGGTGCTGCAGTTGGTATCCTGCCCTTTACCCCTGTGTCTGCTCCAGTCAGACCTCATTTCTTCYTGGACCATGGAGCTTTAGCTCCTGCATTTAAGACTGGCAATAAACGCTCTCCGAGTCATTCAGGGTGATCAAAAGGAGATGAATGAGAAATTTAAAATCTTTTCTCTGCTGATGAGGGGAGAGGGAGTGGTTATTGTGACCTTTATCCTGACGTTATCCTGACTTTCCTAAAGGAAAGTTTAATGTGGACTAGAAAATAAAAAGTTTAAAAAATGTTTAGCTGCTTAATCCCGCCTGTGCTGCTAGCACTTCAGCCAGCTTCGCTTCGTGGGGAACTGCTCCAAATAACCAACAGCTAGCTTTTCCTCTTTATATATATATATATATATACATATATATATATTCCCTTCCATAAACAGCCTATAATTCACTTTTGTATGCCCAAAGTGTTCAGATAGTCTTGATTAATAACTGGGACATTCTAGCGATGGTGCGTCACGGGTGTTCATTTGGAGGGCTGTATTCTGCCCTCAGGGAGATGCATCCCCTCAAAGCAAGCCAGCAGCAATTCCTTAAATCTTCTAATAACTGCAGAAAGGCAGGTGGAAAAGTGTCAACCTTGGCCTAGAATTCAGACCCTATAATAACAGTATGGAGGAGGAAAAAAAATGGAAATTAAAATTATTGTTTTTGTAAGGAAAACAATAAAATCATATAAAACCATTAATTTTAAAATAAAAAAAATAATTTCCAGTGTAGTGTTAGTATTCTGCTAATGTGTTGTACAGGCATTATCACTTGCAATAAACTTGGAGACAGGTAGCTCAAGTTATTTTTACTTCTGCTACCCTCTGTTAGYGCTCTCTGAGGGGGTAATTTTCTCTGCTATATTTCTACTAGTCGAGATTATTAAAATATAACTTTTTCACCACCTCTTTGGGCATTAGCTGTTGTTTTCGAGAAAATGTGCTGAGGGGCTGAAGTCACAGGCTGTGTATTTTAAGTACTTCTGATGAGCTGCAAACTGCAAAAGATGCTTGTGTTGGCAATGTGTTCCTCAAAAAAGGTACACATTTTTGCACCTATTTGTCTTTCATTTAGCTGCCAAGAGACTTGAGATTTGCATTGCTTATAAAAGGAAGGAAAATTTAGTTTCATAGGGGATGGCAAAGAGGTGAACCGTGATTGTCTTTTAACTTGGGAGTGCAGGAAAGAGGCAAGAGTGATTTAAAGAAGCAGCTAAAGGTCATACACTTAGTTTTATTTATTTATCATGTTATTTAAAAACTTGCTTATAAACACAGCCAGAATATCATCACTTTGAAGATATAGGGCATTCGGATGCTTGATTTTAAGGCTTTATGGGTTGCTTCACACATTTTTTTTTCAGCTTCTATTAAAAAAAAATTGTTCTCTGCACTATTTGGACTTTTTGGTTTCAAGAATTTGACAGAATTTTATGATATTGTCAAAGAACAATAACTTGTGACTATATGTTTTTGGAGGCAGCTGCATTGTGCTGTGTTTTGTGCTTCTGTGACATTAAGGAGCTTGGACACTTGGGAGCATTAGGTTGCTCTGTTTCATGTTTCCAGTGTGGTTATTTTTAGGTAGCAGCTTAAGATGARTAAAATTGAAGTGGACATAAATGAAGATGTAGCAAAAAGGCATTTTTTTTCCCTGTGCTATTTAGAAACCTAATGAGGAGGAAAAAAAAGAGGTGAGCTGAAGATCAGCAAGATGATTAATCCCAGGAATCTTAGTATTTGTTTATGTSTGTTAAGCATAGGGTTACCTATACTGTAGTGCTTACTATCCCAGTGGCGGGGTTCTCAGGGGTAATTTCCAACTAGAGAAGTGCCAAGAAAACCTCACGGAAAAGAGGAGAAATGTTTCGAGTTGATACTCGAGATGCATCGTCACCGTTTGTCCATTGATACGGATACTGGTTTTGGCAAACGCGGCAAGTAAAGCAATGGCTGCCCAAGCAAACACAACGATGTCCCCAGCAGCGCAGCTGAGGTCGCCCATCCAGGAGCAGGATGGTAGGAAGGGAAGGCCTTCCAGCGGGATCTGCAGTGCATGCAGCCTGATGGAGGTGACCGCAGGGCTCCCCCCTGGGGCCCTGGGCAGCCTGTGGTCCCTTCTACACGGCCTTCCTGAGGGAGCCGGCCTTCCCGAGGGAGCGGCCTTGTGAGGGAGCCGGCCATCCCGAGGGAGCCAGCCATCCCGAGGGAGCCGGCCATCTCGAGGGAGCCGGCCTTCCCGAGGGAGCCGGCCTTCCCGAGGGAGCTGGCCTTCCCAAAGGAGCCGGCCTTCCGAGGGAGCTGCCTTCTGAGGGAGCCGGCCTTCCCGAGGGAGCCGGCCTTCTGAGGGAGTTGGCCATCCCAAGGGAGCTGGCCTTCAGAGGGAGCGGCCTTCTGAGCAAGCCTGCCCTTCTGAGGGAGCCGGCCTTCCAAGGGAGCCGGCCGTTCCAAGGGAGCCGGCCATTCCGAGGGAGCCAGCCTTCAGAGGGAGCCGGCCTTCCGAGGGAGCTGGCCTTCCAAGGGAGCTGGCCATCCCGAGGGAGCTGGCCATCCCGAGGGAGCGGGGCCGCCGGCCTGCACGGGTGCCGCCGGCCCGTGGCGGCCATGGCGCGTGCTCTGCGGCATCCTCTGCTGCCGCCGCCCGCCRCGCTGCCCGTCGCCTGCTGCTCCCCTCACGCATCCTCCTCTCCCGCTGTCTCCGCAGCCGCTGGGCCAGCCGCAGCRCCACGGCGCAGCGCAGGAAGGACCGCCTGCGGCAGCACTCGGAGCACATCGCGCTGGACAACGACCTGCGCGAGGTAGGTGGCAGCGGCAGGCGCCCTCACACGGGCGGACAAACCGCCATAAACGTGAGGCACTGCTGGCCGGGGTGAAGGGCGCCGGAAAGTCGCTCACGTGTCTGAGCGAGGGCAAGTGAGGCAGGACGCCCTCCTTTACTTGAGGGTTTTTCTTTGGGACCTTCCTGGCTTAGCTAAGCCTATTTGAAAGGCTGAGAGTTTATGGCCATTTTATGGCTAAAGCTCCAGACTCTCACACATCCCATAAGTGTCAGTCACATACATGAATTTCTTTCCTATTTTTTCAGTCCTTTGTCCTTCATTAAACGTTTTCCACCATGTTTTTCCATTCATATCCATGTGCTTCTTTGGTACGTCCCTAGCAGAAGCACAATATTCGTGCTGACTCTTGTTCCCAGAATCACAGAATTCTGTGATTTGAGTAATTCTGCCCAGTGTCACCCTTTTCATCTCGAGAGAACCCGACGGCCTGTCTGAATCCCAGCCTCAGGCAGCGTTTGGCACCCGGACAGCCTTTGCCAGTGTCCATCGTTGCTTTGGCTAACGTGGCATCGCAAGCGCGTCATGAGCTTTGCCCCGTGCCTGCTGCAGCAGAGCCATTCCGGTGCCTTGCCGGGTGTTTTGACGTTCTCCCTTCGGGCTGTGGATCATCTGCATGCTTCTCTTGCTTTGTCTCCTCTTTTCTTCCCGACTATTCGGGCGCCCTCTTAGCCATCGGAGGAGCTTTTGCTTCGCCAGAACTCAATGGCCTTCTGGGAGTGGGACCAGGGGCCACCCGCTCCTGCGCGGCCTCCCAAAAAATCCTTCTCTGAGTGCTGCCTGGTATGTCCTGGTTTTTCTCGTCGAGAGCTGCTTTGGTGTGTTGCTAGCGGGAGGAGGCGCTGCCTTGGGCTCGTCCCCAGCCTCTCGTGTCCCCTCTTGGARTGTGCGAGTACGTCCCTGAAGAGATCCAAGTGTGGTTATAATCGGAAAAGTACTGGGAGAGGGGCTCTCGGGTGTCCCCAGCAGAATGGGGCGTTCTGGCAGACAACAATTTGGTTTTGTCTCCTTTTTCCCCATCTTGGTGGCTGCCCATGCTGCCGGGAACACTGAATCCCGAAAGCCCAGCTTTCTGTCTCCAGACACCGATGAACGGACAGATAGTATCCAGCTGGTTTTCCCACACCGCAATCATTCTTCTKTTGAACTTCTAAACTAAATTCTTTTTCATATAATAGCAAGGCATACAATGAATAAAGTCAATTTATCAGTTGTTTTTTGCACTCTTCAGACTATAACCGCACTTTGCATTTTCTTCATAGCTTCCTTTTAAGAAGAAACTCTAGATTTCCTAATTAGTTGTCCTTAGTATAACTTTCTCACTGCTTTTAATGCTACCCTGTGCACTAAGTTAGATGAAAGTCACTTGCAAGGTTACTTATTGAACCCCACGCTTTCATCAGCTTTGAATTTTATTTCTGTATACAGTAGCACTTGGACTATTTTTAATCCTTACAGTATCAACGACATGGTAATTACTTCACTGAGCACTTACTAACTAGCTCAACACACTTTTCCGTGTCATGATCTTACGTTCCTGTCCGACTTGTTGAACTGATATTAAGTTGCTCTTGTCCAGATTTTGAGACCAAAAAAGCCAGATGAGTCTGAACATCTCTACACCCCCATTACCCAAAAAAAAAAAGTGAATAATTGCAGTTAGCTTCAGTGTGTTTGCATTTTATTCTTGATTTCTAACTTTTCATCCTACTCATTTTTATCCACACTTCTCAATCACCATCTCACAGTAAAAACATGAACATATCACGTATCAGTTTTGTTTGAAACAAGCTTCTCTTGAATTACGAGTTGAGATAAAGACAAGTCCTTTTTTTCCTGCCTAAACCATCCAGGTGAAGTTCCATTGAAAGGTAACACATGAAATCTTCCTCTTCCACTAGGTGTAGTTCTGCTTTTTCTAATTTCTTTAAAAAGGATATTTCCGCTCATGTATAGTCTGGCCAACAATTAGGCAAATTGCTTTATTTATTTATTTGCTAGTGAAAATCAAATTATAATGGAAAGACACTTTAATTGGTGTTTTAACTTTTATGCTGAATGGAGGTGTGCCACTTTTATGCCCTTCTTTTGGCTAACTTTGTGCTAGTGGTTAATAGCTCAGTTCACTAGCTAACGTGAGCAATTTTGGTACCACACAGGAAAATATCTTACTTTTCTGCTGTCACAAAAGAATACACCACTTCCCTGACACTTAATAGTCAGGCAAATCACGATGTTGTTCCAGGATTAACAGTAGCTCTTTTTTTTTTTGCTAKCATTTGCTTGCCTAGGATTAGGATGAGGAGAATCTCTGTGACTTGCAGTATCTAAAATAATTCTCTTTATTTTTAGAAATACATGCAGGAGGCGAGAAGTTTAGGAAAAAATCTAAGGCAGCCCAAGCTCTCGGACCTCTCTCCAGCTGTTATTGCACAGACCAACTGCAAATTTGTGGAAGGGCTACTGAAGGAATGTCGCATGAAGGTACCTTCCTCCCCACCCCTCTGAGTGCTCTCTCTTTGCTTGATTTGAACTGATTTGAACTTGATTTAATAGCTGCTGCAGACTGCATCCCAAAATTCCTTCACAGCTGGAGCACCCTTGGTCTTTTGGTATCCAGCACTAGTGTAGATCCTGCTTTGTGATCTGACTTCCAGCTGCTAGAAAATTAMAGAATATAAGAATATATGCTGTTACTCTTCTGTTTATGCAGTCAAGGTTGATGGAAAGAATAAAAAGGACAGGAAGGAGAATCAGCATGATCAGACATCTTGGAGAGGATTTCCTTTAATTGTCCATATTTAAGTGTAATGTAAACATTTTGGGCTCAGAGCTCTCTGTCCAAAAGGAAGCATTCAGCATTTGCAACAGTTGTGCAGTGGTTAATGCAGAGCAAGTAAAATATCGATGTTCTTACTGTTCAAGCAGTTTGGTAGTCACRAAACATAATTTTTGTGTTTCTGGTCTTTGGAACAGTTGCAGCTGGTGAAATTCTTTAATAGCTGTAACCTAAGCATGAGAGAGACTAAAAGTGCATTTAGCTCAGTATTCTGTCTTTGATATAAATTAGTAACAGATAAAGGTGTGGGAATAGGATATTATGGAGTATTAATACAAACTTTAAAATTATTATTATTTTTAATATACAGTCTCTGTATGAAGATTTTTTTCTCCAGATTTTTTTCACCATAGAGAYAATCATAATAACCATTAGAGATCACCTTCCCTAGGCCTGTACAAATAAATTTATTATATAAGTTCTRCTCTTAGGGGTATGACACCCTTAGAAACCTTTTGGGATTTTTTTAGACTAAACGCATGTTGGTAGAGAAGATGGGCCACGAAGCAGTGGAGCTCGGACACGGAGAAGCCAACATCACAGGTCTGGAGGAAAATACATTAATTGCAAGTCTGTGTGATCTGCTAGAAAGAATCTGGAGCCACGGTCTGCAGGTCAAGCAGGTTGGTAACTGGAAAGGGGTATATACATACTCTTCAGCAAATACTGAATGCCATTTATACCCCTTAAGCTGCTACTTAGTGGAGTAATTACCATATAAAATGAGAGGTATCTCTTGGCTCAGAGAACCTGGTTCATATCATGTGAGTTTTTTGGAGAGGCACCGCAAAGTGTAGTCAAATAGGTTCTTGGTTTCTTTTCTTTCAACCTGCAGAGAGGAGACATGGAGAGAGAAGTAAATGAAACAAGGCAAGCAGCATGACTGCAAGCGCAGTGGGGTTGTCTCCCTTCTTCTGTAGGTCTCCTGGCCCAAAAGGAAAGGAGTAACTCTCATCATCCAACTTATGGCCCACAGAAATGCCAGTCCTTCCTGTTGTCTTGCTTTGTTCTTTGGGGTTTCCTTTTCCTGATTTATTTAAACCTACTTACTACGTACATGTTTGATTTTCAGGGGAAATCGGCTTTGTGGTCCCATTTACTTCAATACCAGGAGAGAGAAGAGAAGCAGGAGCATAGTGCAGAGTCCCCAGGTGCGTACTTGGCAATTCCCTCTGTGTGGGATCCCATTGCAGTACATGAACTTGGGTCTGGTAGGAGCAGTGCAGCCACATAAAATCCATGCAGGACTTCCCATGTGTTTGTTTACTAATGTCCCATTTAACATTTGAGACCTTTCATAATCCCTGTGAAGTTGTGTGGACATTGTTGGAGACAGGTAAATGTGCTTCTCCCTGTCTGGAAAATCACTTGCTGTCAGTTCACTCCCTTTATTCCCTTTTAACTTATACTAAGCATTAAGCGAGGTGTGAGAAGCAGTGACTCTGTATATATTATCTAGGGTGGTTTAAGTCTGGCACTTTGTCTGAGAAAACCTGTGTGAATAAATCCATCTTCAATAACTCTCCTGGTGGACAGTACAGAAGTTCTGTGGCTAATCTCTATCCACAGGTCCTAGCTCTCAGTTTTGCTTTTGTTTGGGCTTTTACAGTCACTAAATTACCTCCCTGGTGTTGAGAGAGGTCAGTTTTCTGATGACCTTGAGATCTCCCTGCCTGCTGAACAGGGCAGGCGAAGTCTCTGAACTTAGCAGGTTATCTTCCAAGGACGGTGTCTCCTCCAAGCAGCAGCACATCCAGACAGGTGCTGCTCCTTAATGATACTGAATCCCAATAGCACTAGTTATTTACTTACAGAGCGCCTTTTGGATTAGGCATTCACAAAAAAAAAAAAAAAAAAAAAAAAGGAATAAGAAAGTTTAAATATGAAATATATGTTCAGTGCACCAGTGGGCCCATCGTGATCTTCACTGTCTGGCTATAGGAAAACAGCCATTTGGAAGAGGGCCGAATGTCAACGTTCATCTTTCTTCAAAATCCTTCCAATCCGACTTAGGGGAACATGTATGATCAGTCCTAAAAAAGCACGTCTATGAATAAACTAGTCGCACTTATTAAAAGCCCTTTAATAAGCTTCAGTGGGTAATGCACTAAGCAACCTGACTGGCAGGCACAAATTCCTGAGAGCGAAATGTGTCACCACAAAGTACTTTGATCCCAGTACCAAAGGACAGAAATGCTCGACATTCTTAGCATCTAATGTATGCTGCTATAGCTTCTTTAAGTTTATCATGCCCTTCTCAGCAGTATTTTTGGTAAGAATGTGAGATTTGATAAAATGCTTCACTGTATGTCTAGATGTCTATATATATCTAAGTATGTGTGTGTATATATATATGTTTAATGTATTGCACATATAAAAAGGAAGCTTTTGAATCTCCAGTTTCAGTGTTGGATTAAGGAGGAAATAATCACTGTCCATGTCTCTGTTTCTGTTAGGACATTGTTAATGGGAAGGCACAGAAACATTGAGGTTCTCAGTGGCTTAAGATTTTAGCCATTATGTAAAAAATGCCTTGCAGACCWTAAGTGTAATTCCATATTAACTTCATATATTTTCTCCAATACAGTTGCTGTTGGAACAGAAAGAAGAAAGTCTGATACAGGAATTACTCTGCCTACCTTGAGGGTTTCCCTGATACAAGATATGAGGTACATAATTTGATTCCATTATTTTTTTGTTTTAATTTGTAAGTTAAAGATCCTCATGGGCTTTGGATTTACAAAGCAAAATTAAGACATCCTCAGTGTTGCAATCAAATCTACAGAGTGTTACCTTTTTGTTTTACAAAATTGCTCATGTAATTACTTGATTTGYTTTAGCTAAAAGATGAGGAAAAATGCACTTGGTTCTGTTTTTGTTTATCCCAGAGAGTTTCTTCTGGTGATGCTGCTAACTTCTACAGATAATGCTTTTGCAGATGTGTCGAATTACTTGGTACCCTCTGAGTTTCTTGCTTTTTGTTTGCTTTGGTTTGAGCAAACAAGAATAGATAATGGGCAAAGCAGAGGGCGTAAAAATCTGCCAGCAACGTCTGAGCAATATTCTTTTCAGTTAGTATTCTGTGCGAAATAGTAACAGCTGTGCAAATTTATAGCTGTAAATAAACCCTTGGAAAATAGAGCAAGAAAGCCATTTGTGGGTTGGAGTGAGTTGTTTTTCCTGTATTTTATACTTACCGTGTACAGCAGTGGCTGTGGGCTGTGGGTGGGCAGCTGGCAACCTCTGCCCTCAGCGGGCTTCGCGGCTGATGAGCTGACAGGGAAAACCTCCGTGGCCAAGGAGTGAGATTCAGTGGTCATCTCCGGGCTCTGGAGATGCCTGGCCTTTGGGGCAGTAGGACACTGATTTTCCTTCAGTTGGATAGAGACTTTGGATACTTTCCAAAGCCAGTGCTCACTGGCCTCTCTGCTCTCACAGGTCTAGCAGCTCAGGGAATTGAAAGTTGAATTGTGAAGTGTGGGAGCCGCCGTGCAGGAGCCTCAGCCTGGCTTGGGAGAGCGTTTCCCGTGGCGGAGTTTGGAAACGTGCCTGGCAGGAGGGGCAGAGGGCTGGTGATGGCTCCGCACCATGTCCTCGCGGGCATTCCCGTCCCTCTCGGCACTCGGCTTGCCGGCGCCGCGGGAAGGAGCGACGCGGCGCAGCCTCCCTGTGAAACGCTGCTGCTGCTGCAGCGTGTGAGGGCACGGCCTCGTAAGGGCGCTTCGCTCTTGCAACCCAGAGCAGGGCACAGCCGAGACGGTCCCRAGACATTCCCAGGCATCCATAACCCTGGTGCTGCCATTTCACCGYGTGTGCAATGAGCAATTTCCCTTCAGGTGCAAGAGCACACAGATTGGTCAGGCTTTCCTGAGAGAAAATGGCTCTTCTTCCCATCTGTTGTGCCTAGCTGATTTGCTTCCTGTAATGTGGTTTAAGCATCTCGCACTCTGTTTTTGAGGAACATGATGTGTCCTGTCCTGCCGGGCTAAAATGAGGCACAAGGGAGGACAGCGTAGGAAGGACAATATATTCAGCGTGGTGAGGAATAAATACAGTGTCCAGAGGCCAGTCGGAGCACGTGTCTGCACAGAGGCAGAGCGSCCACTCTGCAGCATCTCGTGTGCTTGCGGCTCCATGCGAGCGTGTGGGGTCACATCAAACCCCGGGCAGGCGGTGAGTTGAGCTGGACCTACTCAATCTCACAGTACCCTGCTTGGAAGGAGCGCTGCTGGATGTTTGTTTGCACACACAGGGACGTTGCTGCTGGGCGTTTGCTTGCACCCAGGGATGCTGCTGGCGCTGGAGGGCTGGGCAGAGGGTGAATTGCTGGGATTGCAGCACCAGCAGCCGAGGGGCCCGGCGCTGCCGCGGGCACTGCCTGCCTTCGGCGGCTCACACGAGCTTCTCCAGACAGCTTAAAAGGCCGGCTGCATCCCAGCGGTGCCCTGGCTGTGCCGTGGGCCTGTGCCGCGTGTGATGCTGCGTGGCCTCTGCTTCCCACGCCAAACCGGGAGCAGCGCCTGGGATGCGGCGGCGCTGAGCGGGGCAGCCTGCTCTGCAGCTGCTCTTGGCAAAGGGCAGCCTCCCCACAGGCCAGGCTTGAGCCTCACAGGGGGAGCAGGTTTTGCTCTGTTAYTAGTGGCATTAAAAGCTGGTCCCAACACAGGGGCTTGCGTGGAAATTGCTGTTTGGTGCTCGGACGAGAGGAGTTTGCTGCACGGTGGGGACCGTGCAGGACTTGCACTTGGGTCCCKGCTTAAAAATAGAGCTGCTCTGTCTCTCGCGACTGAGAGGGAAATAAATTTGAGGTCCTGAATGTTCTGCTAAGCTGCCTGTGCTGACAGCAAGACTGATTACTGGGTTTTTTAAAGCATTTTTGTTAAGCTGCATAGTTGCAGAGCCTTATTTTCCCCCAGTGCCCACTTTATGTAAATATGGCTTGAAGCAGAAACAAGTACAGCAGACGTACAGAGCGTGCATGAAAGGAGGCTGGAGTCCCTCTGTGTTTGAGTCTGCTCACAGGAAAATAGCACAGGCGCTTGCCTTTTATGCTGGATGTAATTTAAGCTGAGCACTGGGGGGCGGGGATCCTGTGCTTTGATCTCCCCGTCTCAAAGCCTTGAAGGAGCCTCAGCGAGACGCAGCTGAGTGAGGGGCAGGATGCTGAGCRAGGGGCACGTCCTGCTTCTCCAGGAGCTCCGATCTGGAGCCCGCCGAGGCTCCCCGCTCGCTGGGGGTGGTGCTCTGGATGCAAGGGGAGCTGCTCTGCAAAGTGCTTTCCCGAGCCAGGAGCAGGGATCATAGAATCAYAGAATGCTTAAGGTTGGAAGGGACCTCAGAGGTCATCTAGTCCAACGCCCCTGCTCACGCAGGGTCACCCAGAGCACGKGGCACAGGGCTGCATCCAAGCAGGTTTTAGAGAAGGAGACTCCACAGCCTCTCTGGGCAGCCAGGGATGGGTGCCGGGCCGCAGCCGAACGCACTCGGGAAGGGCAGGGAGGCAGCCTGTGTGCCCACGGATGGACGTGTCCCGTGTGCCCACWGATGGACGCGTCCCACGTGCCCAAGGATGCTCCCTCTGTGCCCAGGGACGTGTTCTGTGTGCCTGAGGACGTGCCCTGCGTGTCCAAGGATGTGGATGTGCCCTGCGTGCCCATGATCGTGCTGCCCGCCTTGCAGCTCGCTGAGGAACAGCCCCGCAACCGTTCCACCGCCCGCGTGCCCTCGAAAGAGGAAGGAAGTTTCGTTTCTTTTCAGAAGCTTTTTCCCCAGGAGCCTGGGGTTTGGTCATGGCAGCCGCTACCGCTGCTCCTGTGGGTTGTTTGTTTGCACCCAGGGATTTGCACCCAGTTTGCACCAGCTCCGGTGGCGCCGCAGGGGTCTGCCAACAGGGCAGAGCAGCGCGGCACGGGCGTCTCGGCGGCCTTGCCGAGGCTCAAAGCACCCTTTGGAGGATTGGGGTAGGTGCCCCAGGGCAGGGAACAGAGCTGGGGGCTGCTGAGAGGCCCTGGTCCCCACCTCGCTTGGTCAGAGCTAACCCGTGTCTCAGGAGAGCACCAAGTSGTAGCCTGTGAGGCCGTGGTCCTGCTACGTTAGAAGCTCCTGTAAACACACGAGAGTCTTTWTCCCAAATAATGCAGGATCTAAATATAGCACAAAGCACGAGCTTGGCTGCCACAGGCAGATGGGGGAAGGCACGAGACAGTGAGAGTGTGCTAGTCAACGTGAAAAGCATCAGTCACAGCATGGCTTGGTTGGATTCTCTGCGGAGTAAACATGGCCGGATTTCCTAAGGCTCTGCAGTGCACCGAGGGCCTGAAGGAAGGTGGAGGAGGTGGAAGTTGATGGCAACAAGGATGGGTTCAGGCTCAGCTGATGAGGCTGTAGGCCTGTGCAAAGGTTTAGTGCTCATCTGCCTAAGTGCCTGTGTGCTTAACATGCAAACTGAGGGAAAATTAAGACATTTGCTGCCCTTTCTTTCCCCTGCTGGAAACTATTGCTCGCTTTTCTGGCTATTTATTTAATAAATAAATAAGCTGGTACCTTAAGGCAGTCTGAAGTTGTTCTGCTGGAAGGACTTTGTTTAGACTCCCAGATGTGTCTGATGTAGGACGGTTGGGACCAAGGTAATACAGTTTCTGGAGCCTGCYTGTCACTTGTTTTATCTAATGATCCTCTTTCCCTGCGATATCCCATTGTTGCTGCCGTTGAGGGGTCTGTTAGAGCCAGTGGGTTTCTAATCCCTCTTACATCTAGGCTCATCTTCGGGGGATACAGTGGGGTTTGGAGCAACTCTTAAGGTGCTCGTCCGTGTGGGACGTGCCTGACTATCTGGGCACCTCGAGGGGTGTCACAGGACCTCATCTGGCAGGGGCTGTTTTAGCAGTACAGAGAGTGTCTGTGGGGCCATCCCCCCGGGCACCGTGTCCCCAGGCCACCTCATCCAGGCAGGGCCCTGCGGCTGCTCGGGGACCTCCCCGCTATCAGGTTGCACTCGAGGCTTCCTCCTGCACAGCACGGTTTCCATAAGAGTTTTCCCTTTGGGATGAGCTTCTCCAGAAGCTTGTTATTAGCTTGTTATTTCCCCTCATTTCAGGCACGTTCAGAACATGAGTGAGATCAAGACAGACGTGGGGCGAGCCCGAGCCTGGATCCGGCTTTCCCTGGAGAAGAAGCTTTTGTCCCAGCACCTGAAGCAGCTGCTTTCCAACCAGGGGCTCGCCAAGTAAGTCTGCCCTGGTGCTCAGAGCTTCGCTCTCACCTCCAGGTCACTTCACAGCCCTTCCATCCTTGTGCCTTGTGCCAGCAACGTGCTGAAATGCCCCATGGCCCCAGCAGCCCTGCCTTAGGCTGCCCCAGGAGCACTGCAGGCTCAGAGGCCTCCCAGCAGCTTTCCTGCTTTTTCCTCCTTTTGTAAGTGCAAGYGACCCAGGCACTTCAGGCTCACTGGGCTCTGCCCATGCAAGTGCTGGTGAGGGTGTTCCCTAGCAGAGATGATCATCCCCTCAATCCCTGTAGGAGAAACAAGTTCCCTTTGAAGAAAATGCCTGAGCTAAGGCATGCAGCTTGTGGCGGAGCCGGCTCTGTGAGGAGCTGTGTGGAGGATCACTCCAGAGGCTGGCCAGGACTCGGCGGGCTGCTGGAGGACGTCCCGGGCACCCTGGTGGTGTCCCGGAGCCGAAGGAGCAGCAGGATGGGGCCTGGCACGGTTTGGTGCTTCCAGGGCTCTGATGCCTTCTGTTTAGTGCTCCGCGCTGGAGGGTGGAGCAGCAGGAAGGTTTAGGGTGTTAGGCAGGCTGCTTCCATGGTGGGTTCCCCCCTGATAAGGGGAAAGCGGGAATGGGCTTAARTGGGGATGCTGTGCCTTGGCTCTGATCTGCCACTGTGGGCAGCACGAGTGTGTGCTTTGAGGCCACTCTGCTTTGATTCAACATAAACAAACCCAGTGTTTTAAAGGGGTGAACTCTGGTCCCTGTGGTGTGACCCGGGCTCAGGGCTCAGCCCGGCCCTTGGCCGAGCGCGGCGCTGACGGAGGGATCCCCATCCTCCGGAGCCATCCCAGACGTGCCCCAGAGGCGGGGGGCTTTTCAGTGAGACCACGATGTGTTTGCCTCCACCAGGAAACTTTACAAGCGCTACGCGTTCCTGCGCTGCGAGGAGGAGCGGGAGCAGTTCCTGTATCACCTGCTCTCGCTCAACGCCGTCGACTACTTCTGCTTCACGAGCGTCTTCACCACCATCAGTGAGTGGCAGAGCCCGTTTCGCTCCCCTGGAACAAAAACCTAGGTCCTGCTGAGGTGTGGGGCGGGTGTGTGGATACTGTGGATAGCCCTCTGGCCGGCTGGGCTGGAAGCTGCCTGGAAGCCTCTGTCAGAGCCACCGGGATCGCCGGCACTTGCTGTTGCTCCGGGAGAGCAGCCGGAAGCCGAGGCTGTCTCGGAGCGTTGGGCACCAGGCAGCGGTCTCAGAGTGCACTGTGGCACTCCGAGTCTTTCTTGCTGAGGTGCTCCTCTTTGCTCTCTTCCTCTGAGAGAAGTCCGTGCATCCTGAAGTGGCTCTCTGGTTAAATGCAAATGCACTTCCCAAGCTCTCGGCAAGCTGAGGGGAGAGGGAAGTCTTGGGGAATGAAATACAAGGTGCTGCCCTGGATGTTTTTCACTTCTTTGCTCTCATTAAATGGCCACGAGGTTTCCCTCTGTCCCCCTTTCCTGTAGGAACGAGAGGAGGGGTGGCATCAAATCCTGGACACAAATCTGTTGTCCCTCCAACACTGGACACCACTGAGAAGGCAGGACCCATGAGATGACCTATTTTGGGGGTTGACTTTAGTTTTTATTTTTCTAATCCATTTAGAGTGAAATTAAGTTCAGAATCATTCTACTTTATTCTACRTCACTCATTCTATATTTTTCTCCACTCAAAAAATAAAAAATACCCTCAGAATTAGCGCAGTGCAAGGAGATTTATTCATCCTTGATTACCTTGTTTCTCTGGGGCATCGTGCTTGGCTTGGCAGCTTTCCCCTGCAGGACAAGTGCTTGGAGCTTTGGGATTTTTTTTTTCCTGAGTGCAGTGTCATCATATAGTGCAGTTAAAAAAGAAAAAAAAAGAAAAGAAAAAAAAAAGCTTATTTTCTCCAAAAGCAGCTTTTCAGCTTTTTTAAACATAAGGAAAACCAGTCTGATGCTACAGTACCATGCAGTCAAATCCAAACTGYTGACTCAAGCAGATGTAAATGATAGAGGTTTAAAAAATCCACCGAAAAAGAAGGGGAGAGGGGGGGTTGCTAGCAGAGACACCTCAGATTTGGCGCCTGCCTGTGCCTTTCCCAGCCTTGCTCGTATTCCCRATATTCCCAGTTCCCCTCTCTGCGTGTGCCGCGCTCAGCGCACCGCGGGGGCTTGACGCACATGGGATTTATCCCCSTTTAATGCAGGCACGTTTTTAATTCCCTCGGCAGGGGGAAGGAAGCAGCAGGGCGAGCGCTGGCGGCCGCGCAGCACCACCTTGCGGCACCGGGGCCGGCGCGCCGTGCCCGCTGCCCCAGCACGGCCTCGGCCGCCTCCAAACCCCCTTGGGTCCATGAGGGGCTCTGGGAAGAGCCACAGGAGCCGCCGTCTCCTGATGAGCCAGATTTAAGGGGCAGCTGCTTGGAGGCTGCTCCTGCGGCTCCCTCGCGCTGTCCGACGAGCGCGTCRGCCCCGCGAGCCGTGCTCGCCGCAAGGAAGCGGGCGAGACTTTCCTGTCTGTCCTCTGTCTCCTCCTAGTGATCCCCTATCGGTCCGTGATAATCCCCATCAAAAAGCTCAGCAATGCGATAACCACGTCGAACCCCTGGATTTGTGTCTCGGGAGAGCTGGGAGACACAGGCATAATGCAGATTCCTAAAAACCACCTGGAAATGACATTTGAGGTGAGTGCGCTTTCGTTCCCTTTTACTTCCAATATTGGACATGCTTCCAACTAAATATGTATTTGGTGAAGGCTTAGCATGTTAAAAACACAAAGCACATTCTGTCCAGGTTTTCCAGGTTGCAGAACATCTGAAATAAATCGGGCTGCCTGCTCCTCCCGTGGCAGAMAACAACTCCTGGGAGCACAGAGCAGGTCTCCTGCAGCTCTCCTGAGGGGTTGCTCATGTCCTCCCAACTCCCGAACCCAGCAGCTTTCCAGCCCCAGGGACAAACCATAGAGCTCCCATCCCCAGCACCCTTTCTTCCCTGTTTGCTGAAGTGTTTTTCCCTTTGCCTTGGACTCCCTCCTGCACTCCCACCCCTGCGTTGCAGCTTGGCTCAAGCCCTGGTAAGGAGAGGTTACTTAGCCATATTTGCTACTGAAATTAAGGTTGTATCTACTGAGCAGAAGTGATCCGAAGCATCAACCAAATATTGCTGGATTTGGGCAGGCAGGGTATTTTCCTGCTCAAAAGCTGCCCACTCTTCAGATATCARTATTTTGGAAGAAGGTCTCAAGACTTCTAAAAGGCAAAATAACAAGCATTTCTAAGGACTGTGGCAATGCTATTCTGGAATACTTTTTTGGATGATTTTTTCCCAGAATACAGACCTGTGTAGCCATCCACTGTGGAAAAAGTCAGCTTGAACTGCTTGATTGCCAGTGTTAGAAGCAACGAAAACCAAGGTCTTGTAAGGGAAGCATTTAGGTGATGTTAATAGATGTAACTGCCAGCCCCACCTACAATTACCTAGTGCACTGGAATCCAGAGTCCTGTGTTTTCCTTGCATCCATCTCATGGAGATCTTCAGCTTGTCATATTGGTGATTTTGGTCTTGCCCACCAACAGGCAAAGTGACCAGGAATCACAGAATGGTTGAGGTTGGAAGGGACCTCTAGAGACCATCTAGTCCAATCCCCCTGCTCCAGCAGGGACACCCAGAGCACATAATAAGGGATCTAGAGACCACTTTACAGTGGGGAGTGATTCCCCCTAGCGAAGGTCGSTATCAGGGATGCTGTTCTGGGGAGCTGCTTGTGCTGAAGACTGATTTCTTCTAGAGAAGCACACTTTTTTTTTAATTACCTTAGCTCAGAAACTTGCARTTAGCACAGAATTATTCAGGGTGAGTTCTCACAACAAAGAATATCTTCTCTTCRCGAGGTTTTAACCTTATCACAAGGTACTTTTCTCCTGTCTGACCTCAAAACAGAAATTATGCTGTTTTCTCCTCCCCTCTCCCCCCCCACCCTTTTTTAAGCTTTGTTTATTTGATTTTTAAGCTCTGTTTATTTGATTGAAAATGCCCACTGTGTAAATCAAAAGAACCTGAACAGGAGCACGCAGTAGAGGCCAACTGGGTGCAYGTTGTGGAGGGAGGAGCGGTCTGTCGCTTCCACAATGGAGTAAAAGCCCTTCTTCATTCCAGTGCCAGAATTTAGGAAAGCTGACGACGGTTCAGATCGGCCACGACAACTCAGGGCTCTTAGCCAAGTGGCTGGTCGACTGTGTCATGGTCAGAAACGAAATAACGGGCCACACGTACAGGTAGGCAGCAAGTTTCCTTCCCCTTCCGCCTTGCCGGCTCTGGCGTCGCTAGCGGTTCCTGAGAAATCCTTTGTCTTGCTCCTCGATGGGCAGAGCTCCCATGGAAAAGGGGAGCTGGTCGCAGTGCTCAAAAGGGGGGCTTGGGTTATTGCACCCCACATCTCTCATTTCAGAAGCCCTGGTTGAAGCTGAAGGGTCTCRTAAATATTAGATGTGACTTGAACATCAGATTTTCTTCATATCGCTCTCACTGAGATAAGAGAGGCTGCGTGGCTACTGCTGAAGTGATTCCTGTGGCTCTGTCCAGTGATAAATCCCTAGATTTTAAAACAATGTGCTGCAATCGTGCGTAAAGGAACTCTTTAAACCCCAATAGCTGGAATGATAGTTTGGGGGAAAATCTTTGGGGTTTTCTGTTTTAATGGAACCAGTAAATGCAAGCTCTTGCATGCCTAACTAACAACTGTACAGGAATTTAGATTAAAAAAAAAAAAAAAAAAAANAAAAAAAAAAAAAAAAAAAGGCAAAGAAGCACTAACAGAAACCTAAATTACGCTCATGTGTAACATGTTTTTGTGTCCAGTGCTTTGAAGCAAGCTTTAGAATCATAGAATCACAGAAAGCTTAAAGTTGGAAGGGACTTCAGAGCTCAKCCAGTCCAACCCCGCTGTTCACGCAGGGTCACCCAGAGCACAGGGCACAGGGCGGCATCCAAGCGGGTTTTAAAGCTCTCCAAAGAGGGAGACTCCACAGCCTCTCTGGGCAACCTGTTCCAGGGCTCTGGCACCCTCACCGTGAAGAGCTTTTTTAACCTTACACATAGCTCTTTTTCCCTCAGGATGCAGGTGAACGTAGTATTTTGTGGCTTTGCCTTGCTAGCTCCGTTGAGGCGAGCGCTGCCAGCTCAGTTGAGCTTCTCGGCGCTATTGAGGAGCGTGGGGCCGTTTCCCTGCGCCTCGGCAGGGCTGGGGGCTGCCCAGCGCGCCTTGTCCCTGAGCTGAGGCCTGTGCTGGCCGTCCCGGCAGGTTTCCGTGCGGCCGCTGGCTGGGGAAAGGGGTGGACGACGGCAGCCTGGAGCGCCTGCTCATCGGGGAGCTGGTGCCGTCGGCGTGCGACGAGGAGCTGGGCCGGCCGTGCCGCACGCCGCCGCAGCAGAGGTCACCCACGGCGGCGCGCAGGCTCAGCATCACCTCGCTGGCCGCCCGCAGCAGCAGTGAGTGCCGGCCTCGCCTCCCGGGACGGGCCCTGGGGACGGAGACGGAGCCCCCGCCGCCCGCGGGAGAGCTCCCGAGGCCTGGGCGGGAGCGGGCTCCACGGGAGGGATGCGCTTGCTCCTGCGCCTGTCCTGCTCCGGGATCGTGCGCCTTGCCCCTCTGAGTCCCACCAGCTGGCAGGGAATAACCCCTCCCTCGTGGAGCACGAGGCTTATGGCTCTTGTGGCTCCGTAGAACCGTGTGGGCTCCAGCCACATTCCCAGATGTGCGGCTCTCTGGCCCGTGTCCCATGGAAGTGAGTCGCGTGACGGGGCTGAAACCTTGCAGCCCACGTCTCTCAGCAAGGGGGCTGCCGTGAGCCCTGGGGAGGGCGGGATACGAGCAACTGGCATAAAATATTAATAAAGGCAGGTCCTTGGGGCGTGCATTTTTAAGTGGGGTAATTTACTTGACTCTGCCCAGATTGSTCATCATTTGCTCATAGTTAAGGCTCGGGTTTACTCGTGAAAAATGAATCCTGGAAGTCTTCCCTGTGCTGAAGACACTGAACATTCCCTGCAGTTCAAGCTACGTCATCGTGACAATTCGATGGATATTTTTTCAATGAAGTTGGTGTCTCCCACTATGGTGCTGTCCGTTGTTTTACAGAGCCTAACGCGGGGCAGATCCAGGAGGGAATCGGAGAAGCTGTGAACAACATCGTGAAACATTTTCACAAGCCAGAGAAAGAGGTACTTCCTGCTTGCCACTACCTGCTCCATATCTACTGTGGATGTAAATGTTATTAGAGACAGAACTGGGATTGAAGCACCTGTAGAGCACGTTAACCTCTATAGCTGAAGCTTCTGGCACGGGAGCGGGACGGGTGGTGCTCACAGCCTCTCCCTTTCCCGCAGAGRGGGAGCCTCACCATCCTGCTGTGCGGAGAGAACGGCCTCGTTGCGGCGCTGGAGCAGGTCTTCCACCACGGCTTCAAATCATCACGCATTTTTCATAAGAACGTCTTCCTCTGGGATTTCATAGGTGAGCGCTTGCATGGTTGGAGGGCAAAAGGAGAAGAAAGATGAGGGCAAAATGACTACTCGTGTGCAGACCTCAGGTCTATATCAGCAAGGCTACACGTCTGCTTCTGCCCAGCAGTTGCTCCAGGTTGCTTAAAAYGAGAAACAAGAAGGAATYATAGAATCATAGAAGCACAGAATGCTTAAGGTTGGAAGGGACCTCCAGAGGTCATCTAGTCCAACCCCCYTGCACACACAGGGTCACCTGGAACATGTGGCACAGGGCTGCATCCAAGCAGATTTTGAAGATCTCCAGAGAAGGAGACTCCACAACCTCTCTGGGGAGCCTGTTCCAGGGCTCTGTCACCCTCACTGTCAAGAAGTGTTTCCTTAAGTTCCTGCAGAACTTGTGGTGCTTCAAGGACCATCAAGGAAGATGAGAAATGATAAACTCTCCGTAAAGGATGAATGTGGATCTGTGTTCTTAAACTTCTGCAAATTCTAGACATTTCACTGAAACACGAGTGCTCAAACAGCTGCTCTTCAGTCCAGAAAGAAGGGCAGGAGGCTGGGGCAGGATAGCTACTGATGTGAAGGGGAGTTGGGAAAGGGCCGGGAGTGGCTGGCTTAGATTTGGAGTTGTTTGGGAGAACTGTTCTCATCACTGCACTGGCCTTCTGGTGATAATTATCTATAGGCCTGTGTTGTGGTAATGTAAAACCTACATATTCTCTTAAAACATGCTCACAAGTTGAGATTCTTAGCCCGAGGGTAAGTTCTCATTGAGAAAAAAAGAAAAAAGTCACAGCTGATGGTATCACTTACAATGAAACCAGTGACAGATGCTCTTGTGTGGCTGGTGGATGTTCCACAGCCCTGCTGCACGTCAGCCCGTCTGCTGACCACTGCTGGGCAACAGAGGTGGAGTTTTCCAGCTACCTGTTATTTTTAGAATGAGGAAACTGTGTGAAAACTGTGCAGCAGCTCTTGGCAGGCCAGCTTTCTAAGGGCTCCCTTGTGCAGTTCTGAGCTGCAATAAAGCTGCTTCTCAAAGGCACATTTTACTCACTGGATTCTTGTTTTGTTTCGTACCCCAGAAAAAGCTGTTGCTTATTTTGAAACCAGTGACCAGATTGGAGACCACGAGGAGGGCCTTTTGCTTCAGAGATCTTCGTGCAAATCCTTCTGTCATTACGTGACTGCCATCAATACAGCTCCGAGGAACATTGGGAAGGACGGCAAATTCCAAATCCTGGTTTGCCTGGGAACTAGGTAACTAACTCTTCTTCATTATCTGTGTCCTCTTGCATTAGACTAGAAGAACACTTGACACCTTTATTATAAACCTTTATTTTTCTCTTTTAAGATATTTTATACCTGTCAGTTATCCAGCTCCTATTTAGTTTGAGTAGCAGCCAGAAAATTGCAGCAAAGAAGCAGTGATAATACATGCTCAGTGGCTAAAAATGCTCCTGACTTTTTATAACTTATAGCCTGGGAGTTGTAGGTATGAAATCTGTCTTGAAATTGTCCCTTGGAAGTGCGGGCTTTGGGAATGCAGAGCTYCTCCAAAAGAGCTGGTGCGTTTCTAAATCCTCATTTTGCATAGGAAAATGGAGCGCTGAAAAACATTAACCATTTTGACCAAACTATATTAGGTGACTCTTCCTTTCTTAGTACTTTCTGTCTTGAAACAAATGCTGGGTGAGAGAGGGGTGCTTGTATTTGGGAGAAGGTGGTATACCTTGAAACAGGCACTGATTTTAACTTGTCTGCTGAAACCCAGCTGGAAAACACTTTTTCCTGCTTTTTTATTTTTTTTTTCTCTCCTGGCTTTTGTTTTCCCTTTTACTGAATTCTCTGAGATATCTGTCCTTTTGTTGTTGTTGCTGTTGATACGTTTCCATCTTCAATCCTGCCGCACAGYCAGCTATTTCTATCATATTCCCTAACAAAATTAAGAGCCAGGATTACCCAAGMAGGTTCTTTTACGTGTTTACTTGTTGATTTTTGGCACCAACGCTTGCAGAGAGGAGTCCCTTATGTGTTTAGGCAGGAGCCGTGGCTGGAGGAGGCCTGGGGCTGGGCTTAATGCAGCGCGTGGCTCTTGCAGGGACCACTTGCTGCCCCAGTGGATCCCGCTGCTGGCCGAGTGCCCGCCCATCACGCGCATGTACGAGGAGAGCGCCCTGCTCCGGGACCGCCTGGCCGTCAACTCCCTGCTCCGCGTCCTGCACACCTTGCAGGACTTCAACGTCGTCCTCGAGGGCTCGCTCATCAAGGGGGTGGATGTTTAGCCGGGCTCTGCCCAGGACTTGGCCTCGCCGACAGCCGGGACTGGGACGCGGCGGCGCCGGCGCTCGGCCCCGGGGCGCCGCAGCGGGACTGTCCTCCGGGGCCGCCACGAGCGACAGGGCAGTATTGTAGTTTATTTGGAACAGAAATTTAGTATAAAAATAGAGTATTTTCATGTGTTAGATGTGTGTAAATACGCTATCTTCTCTAAGAAATTATATTGCTCCAAGAACGTTTTCTTAAGCTGAATGTTCTCGTCCTGGATATGAGTAGCTCACAGCCCGGGGAGGAAGGAGCGAGGCCGGAAGCGATGCCGCTGCTTGCCTGCAAGGAGGAAGCCAACTGATGCCCAAGCCCGGCGCAGCCTCCGCAGGGCTTTTCCCAGGTGTCGTGCTCGTCTCGCTCTTGGGAGCGTTGCAGGCGCCTGCCCGGTTCCCTGCTGTTCGTGCTCTCCCTCCGGGTTCATTTTGTTGTTGTTCGTTTGTCTGTCCCACGCACGGAAGCTGAGACCTGTCGCCTTGTCCTTCCGGGGCTCCTTCGAGTCACCCCTGTCAGTCTCCAGAGGGGAGGCAAGTGCGGAAAGGCTCCAACACTGGAACTGCCTGGGAAGCTCCTGCTGAAGCTGCGGAGATGGGGAACAACGGGGGGCTCCGGGCTTTGTCCCTCGTCCCCCTGCACATCCTGAAGACCCCTCCTCACAACCGCCCCACCGCCAGTGGGTGTCGTGGGTGACTTTTTTCTTTTCCTTAGTGTGTATATATATGTATGTTGAGGAATTTGGTGAGATGCACCAAATTCTTGCTGTACTTGAGCAGAATCACTGCTGTGGAGCCACACACGCCGATGTTGCTGTGCTACTGAACTGTCCCAGCCCGTTTCGAAATGCTGGCAGGTTACGAGTCTTCCTCTATCCTGCAGCATAAGTGTTCCTAGCAAGTGTAGGGGCTTTCACTACTACTCTTTTTTTTTTTTTTTTTTTTTCTCTTCTTCTTCCAGCTACAAAACAAGAACGAGGTAAAAGCAGGGGGGAAAAAATTCCGCTTTTGGTAGTCTGAAGTTCCTTTTCTGCAGTCTTTCCTGTTAATGTGTCAGAAATAAGTACATCTGTATAGATTCGGGTCTTAAGGCAAAACTGGGAAGTGGTGAAATCCTGTGCACTAAAAACAACGAGCAGATTCCTTTATAATCAGCTTGTGGCTGCCATGCAGCCACCAGAGGTTGGTTTGGATAGGTGGTTGGTTTTTTTTTTTTTTTTTTGCTTTTCACATGTTCATTCCCCTTGATCTTGGCCAGTTCTTCAGCCGAAGGGGACACCTCAGTGCTGTAACCTCCAGCTGTGGCTGGCAAAGCCCTGGCCTGGTGCTTACCCCTAGGCTCACAGCCTCGCGCTTGCTCCCGACGGCAGCAGGGAGCAAAAAGCTTTGGAGTGCTTGGCACTGGTTCACTGCATGCTGTGCACACACTGGAAAGAGGGACAAGAGCCAGGGCAAGGGCGAGAGGGCTGGAATTAGGGTTAGTGCTCTCATGTGCCCGTGGTCCTGCAGCCCTTTGGCTGTAGAGTTCGAGACACTCGAACAAGACACTCGTTTTGGCCTCACAGTTTCGGAGCCTGTTGCTGGCTAGCAGGAGATAGCGTGGCCCRATGTCCCTGGAAGGGCAGAGGGGGATGTTGCTGGAAGGGACAAGTGCCCGCGCCGCCCCACGCTTCCCTTCCCCTCAGAATAAATGTGTGACTTAGACATCCATAGCGTTCAGCAGACAGGACACGGAGCAAGGGCAAGCAGGATGGCGTCAAAACGCGGGCATCTCGGAAGGTCAGGTGCAGATGAAGAAACCATACCCACAGAAGGCAATCATCTCGCAGAGTATCTCAAAGGAGTAAGTCAAAACCCGAGTCAAAAATTTGAAACGTCAAAAAAGGGACTTTGTTCATTCCAAACAGGATTATATGGAACCTTTAGCACTTAACTTGAACACAACCTCACATCAGCTTCTCTAGCAGGGGCTGACTTGTTTGTTTTTGCCACGTCTCACGTCATGTTAGGGATTCAATAAAGACGACGTATGCCTGATATTTCCTTGTAGGCAATAAAGCACCCTAAAGGAGTGTTGAAAGGGGCACTGTTGAGTGCCTCTCATTTKTAGAAGACTCGTTATTTGACAACCTTGGGAGTATGGTTTTTGTAGTGAATTTTTATTCTTTCATGCATTTTTTTTTTCTATGAGGTTTACAGAAGTCATTCTATCTGCTAGAGTGGTGAGAAAGCCATCAGGATTCATCTGAGCTGACAAAGGTTTTTGCTTCAGAGTTAGAAGGRCCTCCTTTGGTTAAGAAAGGGAATCTTGGAGAAGACCAAAGCTCTCTGCTCTCACCAAGTTTCCGACCCAGTGTCTGTTTGCAGGTGTCTGAGTTTGCCTCGTCCTGTTGTTCAACACAACGTGGAAGTGTCAGAGAAGCAGCTGCCTCACTGTGTACAAAACCTGTATTTATAATTCTCTGCAAATAATGAAATTGTATCGTTTAGTGAAGACTCTTCTCATGTTTGTTTTGAGCTGGCATGTGTAAGTAGATATCCTTGGCCAAAGGTATCTTTTTTAAACTAGTTGTGCAAAGGCATGTTTGAGGAAATCCCTTCTTTCCATCGGACGACGGCGTGCATCTGAAGGGGGAACACCGTACTTGAAATGTATGGCCATGCCCTGCAGAGCTCCAAATGACCCTCAGTGTCTCCATTGAGTATATTTTGTCTTTACATTGTTACTAACTGAATGAGAACTGGATTATTTTCAAGGCGACGACATCAGTAAAAGCATTGGTAAATCAAGCACTTTAACGTACATATCACAAACTGTCACAAACTGACTTTTTTGTTTTGTTTTGTTTTTCGTTTTCCAGGTTTGGGAGTACATTGAAATACCAGCTTTTCATGCTCTGTCCTTTACAAATAAAACCTGTGAGAATAGGGGTTTGTGTCGCCCTCTCTTGCAGAACGGCGGCCGCGGGGGCCGAGTCGCCAGCCCCAGAGCCCAGCGGGAGCCCGCGCTTGCCCCACAGCTCCCCTGCAAGGTTAGGGGGAGAGCTGGGCTGCAGTGGGGCACAGCGAGTGCCGTGGCCATGGCCAGGTCAGTGGCAGCAAAAGGGACGTGCTGGGACGTGTGCTGTAATGTGGTAAGGGAGGTTGGTGCGGAGGGGTGGATGGGTGCCAGCAGCCCCAGAAATGCAAGAGSTTGGTGGTGAAACAGTCACGCTTGGGAACTGGGGTTTTATGAGCTGGACGGCGTCTTCAGAAATCCCCCCCGCCCTGCCTGCCCCGGCTCTGGCTTTGCTCAAATTGACAAAAACATGAGAATTTCTGAAAGTCGMGCATTGTGTGTCTGCAGCCTGTGGGAGGGAGTCATTCCTTTGGATTCTTGGCTTTGAAAAGGAGAAGAGTCTCCCAGGAGGACCGAGAGTCTGAGAGCCTGGGCCTTTGTGGGAAACCTCACGTCCGTGGGGCTGGCACACGTGTGCCAGCAGGGCAGCAGCACGCTGCTGCTCCCGGAAAGGTGAATAAAAGCTGTGGAGCTCACGGCTGACCCATTTCCAAGGCAAGAGTGACTCTGCTTCATTTTCTTACTAACTGTACTAGGCTTAAGTATCTCARCTAGACCTAGTGGAGTCCGACTGGCTTCCTGAAGACAGTAAGAAAGCAGAGCAGGACTAAACTTGTCCAGGTGAGGAAGTACGAGCGACTTCCCCTTCAATCCACGTGCAGCCTGGGAACACACCAGTGCCTTCAGCGCCGCACACGGAGCAGCAGTTTAAGAAAACATGCACAGGGAAGGGGCGCAAGGGCTGGCTGTGGGGCTGGCTGCTTGCCACGCTTCAGGTGAACTTGCTGGAATAAACTGTGCGCTGGTGAGCCCCTCTTTCACCCTCTGTCACCCCAGCAGCTCCARCAGCGCGGCTCCTGTCGTGCAGCCGGGGAGCTTCCCTGCAGCTTCTAGTTCTGTCTCTGTGTAGAAGTAATTGCCCTCTCCTTCACACAGACCCCTTAGTCCTACATGAGTCCCTGTGTGATCCATTACTCTTAGATCTGACAAGAACAGTGAGTTAAAATGAGTGAATCATGGCCCATACCCCACGCCTCAAGGGTTCAAGTCCAGCTCGAGGGGAAATAGTAAACAACCAAACAAGGTGAGTGAACAGCGAAGCTCCATTGCCAAGCGCATTGGGCAGGCCCGTGCAGCAGACTTGSTTTGCAGGGAGCTGGAGGGCCGAGGCTGATCGCAGAGCACCAGTTGTCCCCCGTGCTGAAGGGCAGGCATGGCCAATGCCAGAGACAACCCAACGYTGGCGCCGCATCCAGCGCCAGCCTCCCGCCCGCTCCCACGGCCCCGTGACACCGGCCTAGGCAAAAATAACCCCAACTTCTCCTTCAGCAGCAGCCAGATGTGGGGGCTGGTGCCCTGCAGGCCTCCCCTTCTCCTGCTCCCAAAGAGAGGTCACCTTAAAGGCTGGTGTCGGCCTAGGAAAGTCATCTTTCCTACGTGGCCGCKGCAGTGCAGAGGGAGAAGATGGGCTGCCTCAGCAGCTCTTGAGAAGAGAAACCCAACTTGGCTGCTTTTAATTATGGTGGGGACGTCCAGCAGAGGCAGCTCGAGGAGGCGAAGCCGCATTCGTCTTTATGAACGCCCCCCTCAGCATCCTGCGCCCGTACCAGATAGATTTCTTCAAAGCCACGGAGCTGAGCGATGCATCAGCCTCCTCTTTGCACATCAGAAAAATAAAGAGCTTACAGGCAGTGAAATGTAAGGCTGASTTAGTGGTATTTTTTTCTGCAATATATTAACAATTTAAATATGAAGATAAGTGCTCTACTCCTCTTACAGAGGCACCAGATAGAAAACGTGGATTCAGTTCCTAGGTCTCTCTGACTTCTGTGGGGCCTTTTAAGCAACTTGCTCACACGATGCCCCCTTTTGCAGCTGGACAGGCCGAGCTAGAGCGTGRGTGTCGGCGGGAGAGCGCTTCATTTTGGCTGCTGTGTGCTCACCACTCTAGGCAGCTCAGCTCTCAGATCAGCAAGGGCTCATCCAGGGCTCATCCASCGATGTGTGGCCGAGAGCAGCTTCCAGTGCTGCCGTGACGTAAGTACCCTGAGGTCTCGCCTGTGGCTASTGCCAGCTGGAAGGCGCCTCCCAGACCTGTTGATTTGTGGTGTGTGGGCATGTGCAAGTGGGCCTAGCTGTACGTGGTTGGAGAGCTTTCCGATTGCTCGCGCAGGAGAACAGGCTTCACCCAAGGCTACAACACGGTGATCACGGTTCCTATCTGCAGTGAGATTAAGCTTTACAAAAATGCATAGAAACCCATGCTTGGCCACTGCAGACGCAAGCTGCAACTTCATACATGAMACAAGCACAGGCTGTGCTTGAGATGCCTGTGAACTCCCACAGTGATGCAGCTATTTCATCTGCTCACCCGAATTAACCTYACCTGCTCTGCATGTGTGTGGCTTTTGAGCTGTCATTCCCTGATGAGATGCAGGTGATGTTCTCTGTGTCTCCCTGTGTAACAGGAGCAGCTGGGAATCAGCCTTGCCTTGCCCGAGGTTTAACCCTCTTGCAGACGGTTTGTGGCTCCTGACTGTATAAATAGTCGATGATGGCAGAGAGTGGGTGTGGTGCACAGGACATTTTTTCCTCCCTATATAAGAACAACTTTTAGAAAAGCTGCTGTCAGGGAGCTTGTGGAAACACCACCCTGTGGCTCTACGCAGCTTTCATGTTCTGAAAGCTGTGGAAAAGGTTTCCATTCGTGGTAATGGGAACACAGAAGAACTGAGGAAAAACTTTCAGACCAGAGGCGCTATTTAATTCATCCTCTGAATGGACTTTATTACGGCAGAATTCAGATGTCAGCATGAATTTTGTGCTAGACATGAGTCGTGTGGGTAGCTCTGATGAATAAGAAAGAGGATATC